CTTAGTAAGTTACTAGCTTATAGGCTATTAGCTATTAATAAATTATTTAAACTATTATTAGCTCTAATTACCTTAAGTAAGTTACTAGCTTATAGGCTATAGGCTATTAATAAATTAATTAATAGGCTATTAGCTATTAATTTAGGTATTTACTTATTAATTATTTTACTATTAGTAAGTATTTAGCTATTAGCTATTAGATTAATTAATTTAAAACTATTAGTTCCTATTTTACTACCCTCTATATTAATACTTATAAAAGCTATAAAAAAGGCGCTTAGTAGTAATAGTAGTAGAGTAAGAAGAAGTATAAATTTTACTTACTTATATAGATATTCTAGTGTGTTACCTAATTATAAAGCGCCTAGTAAAGTAATATTAGTATATTTAATTACTTTATCTATTTCTTTATTAGCTTCTTTATATACTAAAGATTAATTACTAGCTGTAATTAGCTTATTAATTTATTATTAAATTACTATAAGATTAGCTTTATAAAGCTTATTAAGTAATTTATTTATTAATTTATTAAAGGTTTATTTTTTATTAAATATTATGTTATATATAGTAAAGACCTTATTCTACACTAGATACTAAATATAATATAAATTACTAGATATATATTTAATAAAGAATCTAATCTATACGTAAGTAGTAAGCTTTTACTAGTAGTTTTATAATAGTTATACGTCTGCTATTAGTATATATACTTAGTAGCTATAGGCTTATAGATATAAAAGATCTAGCTTTACTATTAGTAAAAGCTTAGTATACTTATTAAGTATAAAATATAAGTAAAATATTTAATATAGTAATTTCTACCCCTAAGCTACTAATAGCGTTTAATTATAAAGGTATATAGCTATAGTTATAATTTTAAGCTATAGGACTTTAGGTAATTTTATATTAATCTATATATATTATGCTTTAAGTTTAATAGTTATAGTAATTTACTTAGTGCTACTATTTTAAGCCTAGGTATTTACTACTAATAGCTTAATAGAGATTTTATAATTAAAAAGCATATCTATAAGTTACTTAAGGCGTAGGATTTCTTAGTTAGCCTTAATAACTTTTAGCGTAATTAAATATTTAGTTTTTAGTATTATAAGGAAGCCCCTTATTACTAAGTTAATAGTATCTTAGTAGTAACTATATAAGTAGAAATCTTATATAAGGCCTATTACCTAATCTAAAATTATTATTACTAAGTAGTATCCTATATAGCCTTATTTAAGATTATAAAAGTCTAGCGCTAGGTAATTACCTAGTGCTATATTTATAATAGATTTATAAGGCTAGTAGTAAATCTACTACCTTATCTTACTAAGACTATATAAATTATAGTCTTATATTATTATAGTGTTAACTTAGGTTAAATATACTTTATATATAGTATTTATAATCCTTTATAGAGCCTTAGCACCTAGGTAGCTAAGACGCTTATACTATATTATTATATTACTATAGAGTAGTTATTACTATATTAACGTTATATATTTATTTTTTACTTATAGGGTTAGTAGTAAATTATTAGTAGAGTATATAGTAAAAACGCTTTTACTTTCTTAGCTATAGCTACGTTACTTATAATATTTAAGCACTTATTAGTTAGCTTATTCCTTAATATAGCCTATAAGGCTATAATCTATATGCCTTAAGTAATTATTATTTAGGCTTATATCTTACTATATACCTTACTAGTATAGCCTTATAAAGGAAATAAGTAATATAGTAAATATACTATAATATATTACGTTATATATATAAAGCTTTATTAGTAAGCTATTAGCGCCCTTTAAAGTAATCTCTATAGTACTATATCCTTTAATTATAACTTAGGTAGTACTAGCCTAGATATAGTTACTAATTAGGGCTACTACTAATATAATAAACTATAATATATAGTTAAATATATAGTTAGTAGTACCTAAATTAAGTAAGGCTAAGTTACCTAGCTTATAGCCTTATAAAGTAGTATAAAAGGCTACCTTTATATAGTATTTACTATATAGTTTATTTACTATGTAGTTAATATAACTTAGCCTTAATTCTTTATACTTATTTAGTAAAGTTAAGATTACTTATAATATACTTATTAATTTATTACTAATATTATATATTTACTTACTAATAATTAGGTCTTTATAACTTATTTATAAAGTAATAAAGTTATAATAAATAGAAATTAAAGTATATAAAGCACTTTACCTTTTTACTTAAGCTTTATTAGTAGTAATATCTTTTATTAGTTAATTTATTCTCCTTTACTATATCTTTATTATACGTTAGGTTATTATTATTATTACTTCTAGTTAGGCTAAATACGCTATAGCCTACTTAGCTATAATATAGTAAGTTATTAGTAAGGGCTTTAACTTTCTTTAGTGCTATCTTATAAAAAAACTACTAGTTAAGATTATTTTAGTTACTTATTATTTTACTAGTTACTATATATAAATCTAGCTAGGAGCTAAGTAAGCTGCTTTATAAAGCAGTAGTAAGGTTATTAAACTAAATTAATAGCTATTAGTAGTTAGGTAAATTAACTTATACTAATTTACTATAGGCTATATTCTATTTATTAAGCTATATAGTAAGATTTTTCTTAGTAGTTAAGGCCTTTTACTAGGCTTTTACTAATACTTTACTATATTTATTATAGGTATACTTTATACGCTTTTTTTTAGTTATTCCTACTACTATACTAAGCTTATTAAGCTATTTAGCTAGTAATTTATTAGATTTATAATATCTTTCTTAAAGATCTATAGATATAGTAGATTTAACTACGTTAGCTACGTCTTTAACGTCCTTTTACTAAGCAGTATTGTTACGCTATAAATTACAGGGCCTAGAAGAGCCCACGTGATCGCCAGCCCGCTTAAAAGCGCGCGCCTGCGGCCACGCGTGGCTCCACAGACCTTTCCTTTCTTTATCTTCTATATCTACAGACCCATAATAAAAGAGCTTTTTAGCCAATTAAAGGTCCCAGGAGATCACTAATTTCCTTACCTTCTTTTTTTCCTAACGGATTATAATAAATAGTAGCATAACCTAGTAAGTAGCAGCAATCTACTAGCCTGCTTATTGCTAGGAAATACTATTACACCTGTTAAATCCTAAAGGTAGGTATAGTAATAACGCCTTCTTACTTTACTTTATAATAATTACGCCCTAGATCTTAATTAGCAGCAGCCTCTAGTGAATCTGCCTCTGCTAAGGAGAGCTATTTCCTTTACAAGGAAAATAGTTGCTTTTTTACTACCTTTTCCCTAAAAGAAGAGAGGCTGGCCCTAGCAGTAAGCACAGCTTCTAGAAAAGCCCTACCTTATAAAACACACGTTAACCTTATTAAATCTAACTGTAAATCCACATACTTAAAAAAGAAGGTTAACATACGCTTATAACTACCTAAAAGTCAGCTAGTTAAAAGGGGCAAAAAAGTGGCCCTAAATTTTCTAGTGGTATTAGTCTGGCTTAGCAGCAACCAGGCCCACTTTATAGAAGGCACTGACGCTGGCGGCAGCCACTATAGTAACTATAGCCGTAGCTACGTAGGCAGCTATGAGGGTAGTTATTATAGTGAGGGCAGTCACGGCAGTGGGCCAGATGAGGATGATCTGATTACTAATCGGCCGGCGAGTGAGGGCCAAAGTGAGGGCCAAAGTGATGGCGGCGATAGTAACTACGGCGATAGTGACTACGGCAATAGTGATAGCAGTTACTGAGGGCAGTAAGGACCTTCTTTTGGGCGGCAATTGTTACGCCACGAATTACAGGGCCTAGAAGAGCCCACGTGATCGCCGGCCCGCTTAAAAGCGCGCGCCCGCGGCCACGCGTGGCTCCACAGACCTTTCCTTTCTTTATCTTCTATATCTACAGACCCATAATAAAAGAGCTTTTTAGCCAATTAAAGGTCCCAGGAGATCACTAATTTCCCCACCTTCCTTCTTTCCTAACGGATCATAACAAGTATACTTACGTACTTTCTTATAATAGTAGCTTATCTAGCTATTTAAGTACATAAGATTACATAAGTTAAGATTATTTAGTATTATTATATATTTAGTTTTATATATAAGCCTATTAGGTATAGTTATAATAGCCTTACTTCTTACTATATATAGCTATATAGTTACTTACTAGGATATCCTAGTAATTACTATAGCTATAGTAACCTTTTAGTAAGTAGTAAGCTTATCCTTAGTTAAGACATATAGATATTACGTTATAAGTAGCTTTATTAGTTTCTTTAGATATATCTTAAGGATTAATTAGTCTACTGCTATAACCTCTAGGTTAATATATTCCTAGAGATTATAACGCTTTACCTTTACTTAGATAGCGTTAAGCTATATAAACTAATTACTATATAATTATAAGATAGTTACCTTATTATTATAGTTCTTATTAATTATTATAATAGTATTTAATTAGTAGATAGACATATTAGTTATTATAAATATATATATTAGACTATTAATTATTAAATTATAAGGATTATAATAGTTACTTAATTAATTATATAATATATTATATATATCTAGTTAAGATCCTGTAGGAGTAGGGAAATCCCCCTATTTCTTAGTTAGGAAATCCTAGAGAAATCCTGGCTATATAATTAGTAGATTCACCCTGAAAGTGGGGCCCTTTCACTGCCCATTCCCTAACAATTCGCCATAGAGCAACCGTGCCTTTGCTGGTTAATTCACGTGTAATTCCGCCACATTTGACAATAGTTATATAATATAATAAAGTTTTAAATAAATTACTGCTGTTACCTCTATTTTGCCTTAAATTAATTGCCTAACCTTAAATTGCTTAAAACTAAGGAGTTTTTAATTTTGCGTAACTATTGTGGGCCTGTGGTAAATCTAATGGTCTGATTGGCTGGGTTAGTCAGAATGTTGTTATGGGCTATTTTTGCTAGCGCTAACATAATGATTTTCCAAAATAGGCTTAAATCACTGGCATACTACCAAAAGTGCACTGGCATTTTACCGGCAACCCCATTTGTTGTCCAGGTGGAGCTGGTTAATCAGCAGCGTGCCAATGATCTGGGTTACGAGGCGTTAGCAGATCATGATAAAAAAGAAACGAAAAAAAAAAAAAGGAGAGAGACAAGAAAAAGGAAAAGCCGCGTCGGAGCAAAAGGTCCGTACATACCGGCGGAACCATGGCAGCCGTGGCAATATGCAGCCGCGAGCCCGGCATCTTGCTCGTCAAGAAGCCGGCACCGAGCTGCGCGACGACCTGGACCGTGGAAAGCGGTAGGTTCATCAGCGTCGTCTGCAGAGGGTTGAACCCGAAGCCCTGGACGATCAACGACCCGAAAGCCAGCCCGCCCGACGCGATGGCGTTGACGAAGGAGACGAGCCCCAGGATGATGACGGCCGGGTCCCTGGCGGCCTCGACGACCTGCGCCGCGACGAAGGTCTTGCTCCGGCCCGTTCCCGTCTTGTTCTCGGCGACCCTCTGGACGGCGACGACCTTTTCCTGCTCCGTCGGCCACTTCACCCGGGCCGGCCCGTCGGGGCACGAAGAGGGTGAAGACGACGCCACAGACGACGGTGACGGCGCCGAGGATGAGGAAGATGTACCTCCACGGCGAGAACGAGCCGCGGATGTGGCCGATGCCGTACGCCAGCAGCGTGCCGACGAAGCTGCCGACGCCCAAGAACGAGACACAGAGCGCCGAGCGGCCCGCCTGCTCGCGGCGCGTCCACCACATGCCCGTGACGACGACGAAGCCGGGGGATATGGTGGCCTCCGTGGCGCCGAGGAGGAAGCGGACCGAGGCCAGCCCGGCGAAGGAGCCGCACGCCGCCGTCGTCGTCAGGATGACGCCCCAGAGGATGATGTTGGCGCCGAGGAACTTTGCGACGGGGAAGCGCTGCAGCACGGCGACGCCGGGGTACTCGGCGAGCAGGTAGCCGAAGTAGAAGATGCTGCTCGTCCAGCTGTACTGCTGGCCTAGAGCCGGTTGTCGGGGATGATGCCGTAGACGGAGCTGTACCCCAGCGACGTCTTGTCGATGAACTGGAGCGCGTAGGTGACGCACAGGAACGGGAGGAACCGCCTGTCCAGCTTCTTCAGGACCGACCGCGACTGCGCCTCGTCCAGGGGCGGCGAGCTGAGGGCCGAGGCGGCGAGCGCGCCCGTCTCGTCGGCGATGTGGTGCTTCGAGACGGCGTGGTCATCCTCGGCGGCGGCGTTGATGTCCGAGGGAACCCGCTTCTCCGGATCTGGGCCCGGGGCTTCGGCGGGTGCCATTTCTAGGATGAGTCCAACAGACTGGGGAGTATCCAGGTGGGGGAGGGGAGGGGGCTCGGTTCTGGAGAGACTCCTCGCTTGCATGAACGCACGTCGAGCACATCATCTTTCGACCCGAGTTTCTGGGACCCTTGACTCCCTTATCAACACCACGCTCTGCCATAGAAGCATTGTGGGTCGGGTCATGGTTATCGGGGGACACCCGACCATCGGCAACCGGATGGATACATCCAGTGTTCTTATCTCGGGCCGTTCCTCCTCCCGGACAACACCGCTCCCAGCTAACAATTATGGATCATCTATAGGGCTGGTTTCTATCAGTTGATGATATATCGCGGAGGGAAAGGGGGTTCCTTTGTCAAACAGTTGCGGAACCTCAACTGTGTCTTGCAACCGTCTTATACAACGCCTAATGAGTACCTGGGCTCAAACATTTCGCCATGACAAACTTTACGCGCTCACTTCCTGGTCGAAAAAAAGGCCATCATCTATTCCTCAACTCTCTCTCTCTCTTCGGCGAACTTCGGCCGGTGCTCTCAGATACCGTTAGCAGGAGATCGGCGGGGTGATAGCGGGTAGATATCTCCCCCCCCCCCCCCCCCCCCTGCGGGGAAACGACCACTTCCGTCCAACAAGTCGCCGCTCTAAGCCGTTGCACAATTCGATTTGCATAAACGGGCCCCTGATTCCACCAGAGAGAAAGTTCGTTGGGCCAAAGCAGCCAAGGGGCCTTGGCAAAACACTATTGGTTGTTCAGCCGCATCTCGAGGAACTTCGTGGCTTCATCGCCATCTCCGTTCCAACATCACACACGCCAAAGTCGTCTCCCTGCATCAGCCTCGAGTCTCACCGTTCTCTTATACGCCCTAGGCCAACTCAGATCAAGTAGGTAGATCATTGTTCCGCTCGTTTTTTTCTTTTTTCTTTTCTTCTTCTTCTGTCGGACCTATCCCTAATCCCCCCCGTCAGCTCCTTTGCTGCAATGGCCAAGCGAAAGACGGCCCCCGCCGCCTCCTCGTCAAAGGCTGGTGGCGACGATACCGCTCCGGCGACACAACAGCCGCAGCAGCAGGCCGGGAACGACCGTCCGACGACGCAGCTCGGGCGGGCGGCCGCCTTTCTCATGCCCCCCGCCTGGATGCGCAGGATCATGTTCGTGGCCGTCCTCATCTACCTCACGCCCATGCTTCTCGCGCATTGGATCGAGACGTCGACGAAACTCATCGGGCTCTTCCGGTCCTTCACCTCGGGGAGGTGATGCTTTTTTTTTCTCTTCTTGGTTTGCGGCTCGCCGTAATCGGGAAGCTGAATTGAAGTTTCGGCAGGTTTTTGTCAGTTTCTCGGCTGGGTGGTTTGCTGTTTTTGCGACGCGTCACAATGTATGTTACACACAGACGAGGCTCGAATGCGGAAACCGCAATGTTGATTTATCAATACGAGAGGGCGCAGGCGAGAAGTTACAGGTCGTATGCCTGAGTATAATCAAAAGTTAAAGTGGTTAGCTATTTCTCGGAGTTTCAAACCGCTCTACATTGAGAACAACGAGCCCAAAATCAGCCAAACCCTGCCGGCCCAATCGCATCACCATCTCGTTGAAGAAATCGAGATGTGCCGCCCCGGGCGTGTCGTGGATCATGCCCTCTTCCGTCTTGCGCCCTCGCATCCGGCGGGAGAATGAAGGCGTCAGCTTCGTTTTTCTCTTCTTCTCATTTTTCGACTCCTGCTGTGCCGATCCGCCCCCAGCCATGCTCGGCCTCTTATTCTTGCTCGTCGTCCGAGTCGTAGGAGCTGTAGTCGTACGGACCTTTGTCGGAATTCTCTTTGCTTTGATCTCGTCCAGCAACTTGATTTTGTCTCCCGAGAGGCTCAATATCATTGTCTCCTCGAACTGGCCAAAATCGTGCGTCTTGGCCAGTTTGCCTTTCTTGCTGTCTCCCACCTGCCGAGACACGTGTCACTGACGAGACTCCATCGCCTCTTCCCATACCGCCAGCCGCCGGTCCTTCTTCGCTTGGACAGCCTGACCGTCTACCCTCGAAGCGAGGGCCATGGGAGACTAGCGATACCAGCCGATTCAAACGGTCATGGAATGTCCAGCTGTGGTCGTATGGAAGCCGGGGACAAAGTCAGCCAAAGCTTTGAGCGCCGAGTATTTCTTGAAACCTGTAGAAGGCCAGCGGCATGGCAGGCTTTTCTCCGGCCAGGCTTGCTCTCCGTCAAGACGTAATGATCCATTAACCGATCCAGGTCGCAAGCGCAATGGTTTCGACAATCAGCCGCTATCTACGTAATGAGGCACGCACACACGCGCAGCAGCTCGTCAATAGAGCAGCGATGCTCTACTTACCGTTCCAGGATCGACAGCTCTCTCGAAATTTCACTAAGCCGGTCCTTTTGCGGCCTTTACAGGGAATCCGATTTCGTAGTGTGTCAACTGAGCGGCGAGCCAGGGCTTTGTGAACAGCAGACGTTCTTCTTCCATGATTCTTTCTTGTATCCGCCTCGAACGGAAGAGCTCCGGGTGTAAAAGCTCCGCCTGCCTCTGTTCCGTTGGCCGTGAGCCGCCGATCTTGGCCCAGTCGAAACCCGTCACGCTCTAGAACCAATGGCTCGAGGCGCTCGTCGGCCCTCGCCATCTCTTCCTACGATATAAAATCAGATGAACGTGAAGAATTTACAAGTATGGAGATTGGATCGCAACGGGAGTCCTCAATCTAAGCGGATTCGTTCCTTCACGCGAGGAGACGAGGCCTCACTTGACAAGATGCTGAGTCGGTTTACATACTAAGATACTTATATAAGACGGGTCCCTCGTTAAGTCGCCCAGGTACACAACATTAGCCACTCACAGTCGTTCAAACACAGTCAAAACATAATGCTCAGTACTTAACATGGTCTAAAATCAAGTAGAGGTAATATGGACATTTCAAGGTATCTGCCCTATTGACTACTAGAGTTTTATTATAATCATAGAGTTCAAGAGTACGTCTCGAGACGGAGGTACTATCAGCCCGACGTTGGCTGGCTAGCTCGAACTGCCTCGTCATTTCGCGCACCCACGCTCAGGTTGTATTCCAGCCATTCACAGCTTGGATCGTGTGGAATGAGAAGCAAAGCATGAATATGGCAAACCATTGTACAATTTTTCACACTTCAAAAGTCAGACGCCATGCACTTTATGTCCCCTTGCCTCAATCGCACCTCTCATCTCAACGCGGCTCGGGAGATAAGCATTGCAGGCTTTATCTTATGCCAAACCAAAGTTATGCTCTCGGCACATCCCGGCGTCTAACACGGTGGATGCGCTAACCGAAACGGGAAACCCCCTATCACCACACCCGCGGCGCCGGGAGAGATGACCGGGCCGGTGGTCGGAGCCATGCCGCTCGGAATCGTCTCATCATCCAAGGTTCACCCCATGCGGGGGATGATGGGGGGGGGACCCTCTGTGAACCTTCACGTCTCACAATACGTCGCCTCCCTAGCTGGTCTCACTCAAAGAACCGATGCAAGCTCCCTGAGCCTCATTCGATTAAACCAGCATCCAGTTTCTCCATCGTCACGCCCGCCGCTTTCCATAACGCCGGCCCTAACTCTCACTCACACACACTGACACACACATCCTCCGAGTCTCAATAAACCTCACAATGACCCCCACGGAAGACGACGGCGACGACTTCGTCCTCATCTCTCACGCCGACGCCCACCCCTACCCCCCCGCGGGACCCTCCTCCTCGCCCGAATACCTCGACGAGATCTCCGCCATCGTCGACGACCTCGCCAAGAGCCTCTGGCCCGTCAACAAGACGATTCACGACAACCCGGAGCTCGGCTACCATGAGGTCATTGCCCATGACACCCTCACGGCCTTCATGCGCACCCAGCCCGGCTGGAAGGTCACGCCCTCGGCGTACGGCATGGAGACGGCCTGGGTCGCCGTGTGGGACAGCGGCAAGAAAGGGCCCGTCGTCTCGTTCAACGCCGAGATGGGTGAGTCCCCCCACCCCCTTCTCTGCTTCAATCTCCTCCCAGAAACCCCCTTTTTCCCATCAGAGAAATACTCCAAAAAGAAAAGAAAAAAGGGAATATAGACCCCACGGGAAAAGAGGGAAAGCTAACCAAAAACAAAACAACAAGACTGCCTCCCCGACATTGGCCACGCCTGCGGCCACAACCTCATAGCGATGGCCTCCCTCGCCGGGGCCCTCGCCGCCGCCACCCTCCTCGCGCGCCACCGCCTCCCCGGCAAGGTCGTCCTCTTCGGCACCCCCGCCGAGGAGGGCGGCGGCGGCAAGATCCGGCTCCTCGGCGCCGGCGCCTACGCCGACCACGGCGTCGACCTCAACCTCATCTCCCACCCGGGCATCGTCGCCGACACGGCCATGATGCGCACGTCGGCCTACGCCGCCTTCCGCGCCGAGTACTTTGGGCCGCGAGGCCCACGCCGCCGCCAACCCCTGGCTCGGCGTCAACGCCCTCGACGCCCTCGTCACGGCCTACAACGCCGTCTCCGTCCTGCGCCAGCAGACCATGGCCCGGGCGACGTCGTCCAGGGGCCACATCACCCACGGGCGGGCGCCCGGCCCCAACATCATCCACGCCTACGCCGCCGGCAGCTTCGTCGTCCGCGCCGACACCCGCGCCCGCCTCGCCGAGCTCCGCGCCAAGGTCGACCGCTGCTTCGCCGCCGGCGCCGAGGCCACCGGCGCCGCCCTGCGCCTCACCCCCACCATGGCCTACATGGACCACGTCCCCAACCGCGTGCTCGCCCGCTCGTACGTGCGCCACTTCAACGCCCTCGTGCCGGACGCCGCCGCCGCCATCCCCCTCGACCAGGACATTGACGAGATCCGCGGCCGCACCATGGCGAGCACCGACCAGGGCGACGTGAGCCACGCCATGCCCAGCCTGAACGTCGGCTTCGCCATCCCCCCCGGCGAGGGCGGCCAGGGCCCGCACAACCCCAAGTTCGCCGAGTCCGCCGGCACGAGGGTGGCGTTCGAGAACAGCCTGCGGTCCGGCAAGGGGCTGGCCGGCGTGGCGATCGACGTGTTTACCCAGAAGGGCATGCTGGAGGAGGTCAAGAGGGCTTGGAGGAAGGACATGGGCAAATGAGAGCGGCGGTGTCAGGGACGATGCCCGAAAGGGGGGTTGACGGTGAGAGTGTACGATTCTGGGGACAGGCGGATGGATGTAATGAAGACAAAGATTCATGAGATGGGACGAATTCGCTTGGGAAAAACATCTTTCTGCATGGTGCTTCCGGGGCATCAAATGTCTTCTTGGAACCAATTTCAGCATATGAAAGAATATAGAAATAGCTGTGAGATAACATATCCATCACTTGACTTGTTCCATGTGTTATACTTGTACAGGGCCTCCTTATATCCCACGGGCAATATGGCATGTAAGCCCAAACTCGGCATCTCGGATATTAACACATCTATACAAAATCATTTCATGATAGTCTGCCGACCATCTAGGCAACGCCGTGAACCTCTTTTAGGACCCTCCCTCTTCTCTACATCCTCTTGGCGCCCATCTCCTCGGACCCGTACTCGTCCCAGTCCTCCCGGCCAATCTTTCTCGAAATCCACACGCCCAGCCCGGTGACGGCACAACTCATCAGGAACCAGCCCTCGAACCACCAGTCGACGAACCGCGGCTCCAGCGCCCCCTCGAGCGCGTCCCCGACGGCGCTGCCCATCTCCCTCGGCAGGTTGCTCCGCAGCAGCAGCGCCGCACTGATGACGTAGACGGCTGTAATCTGCCCGATCAGCAGCGCCAGGTTCGCCTGCGCCTGGTACAGCAGGCCCGGCAACCACTTGGAGAAGAGGTGGAACGTCTGCAGCACGCTGTTGGCGCTCGCCGCGAGCATGACGCCGGACAGCAGGAAGCTGATCTGCCGCGCCCACGCGATCTGGTCCAGCTTGGGGTCCCAGTGCCGCGCGAGCAGGCCCAGAAAGCGGTTGATCGGGTCCGACGAGCTGAAGCTCGAGCTGGGGTAGTACGTCCTCCGCAGCATCGCCAGCGTCGTGGCCAGGATCCGGTATAGACAGTAGAGGCTGAATATGTAGTGGGGCACGGCGAGCAGCTTCCCCAGCGGCGTCGCGGCGCGGGCGTCGGCGGCCTGGCGGGAGCGCATCATGCCCAACGACGAGCCGAGGTTGGCCTCCATTGTCTCCAGACCCGCGATCTCCAACCGTAGCGCGCGCATCTCGGCCTCGTCACCGCCCATGCCGCGCACCGCGCCCATCATCTTGCCCATGAACCCGCCAGAGCTGGACGATGCTGCCTGCGCCTCGGAGGCCTTGCGCTCCAGCGCCTGGAGACGGTGTCTTTTCGTCAATAGCATCTCGTTCGTGGCATCCAGACCGGCCTCCTTCCTCGAGATGTCGGCCTCCGTGATGGGCCGCTTCCTCCTTTCCGAGGCGGCGCCAAGAGTGTGCCAGGGACTCGATACGGCCGCGAAGCCGCTGAGCATCGCCATCAACGAGATGCCAATGACCCCGATCCGCTCGAGGCAGGCGCGCAAGACACCCCCGCCCGCGGTCGTCGTCTTGTCGAGGCCGACCAGGCTGCCCAAGCTCCAAAAGGCAAACAGCCATCCGGAAAACACCAGCAGCAAAACCCCCCAGGCAAACTGCGGGATCTTGCCCCTGCTATTCCTCTGAAACTTCCACCCGAGTCCCGAAATGACGCTCTGGATCTCCAGGAAGGGGATGATGCCGACAAGCAGCACCAGGAGCGTGGGCACCGTGAAGCGCAGCCCCACCTCCCGGGCGCGGCGGCTAACCAGGTCCGAGATCTCGCTCAGTATCAACTCGCCCAGCACCGTGGCCAGGGCGATGGTTGTCGAGAAAACGGCGGCCGCCACTCTCCTCCTCGGGCTCTTTTGTCCGTGTTCGGCGTGCGCCTGCCGCAGGCTGGGCGGTGCGTGCGACGGCAGGTAGTGGTCCTCGCCATCGTGGGCTTCGTGTACTCTCGCGAGCTTCGGGAAAATCTTTCGGTCTGCGACGGCGGCGACGGTGGCGAAAGTGGCAATAAATGGCAGCAGCGAGAACAACAACCCGACCGTCGATGGGGCATTAGGGTCTACGGCAGCGCAAGCGGACTCGTCGCATGAGGAGCTGAACCAGGGCATCTGGGGCGGCTTGGTGGGGCGTTTGCGCGCGATCGAAAAGACATGTGCGATTGGTGTCTGAATGAAGCAATATTCATCCTGTTCCGGTGGAACTACGGCGTCGAGAAAGGGTCCTTTAGCGAGGAATCAGTGAGGTTGGCTTCGACATGGTACGGAATGTAGTGCTTGAGTTTGGGTAACCGTTGCAGAGCGACAGCCAAAACGGACACATTCGTAACCTCCGTCGTGGTCTGTGTCGGAGTCTGATTCAGCCACATACCACCTGTCTAAACTACCCGTATCCGTACTCTCCGTACTTAGGTACGGACACCTAAAGTACGGATACCCAAGTGGCCCCAGGGTAAGCTTCAGCCACACCAGCCACATTCATCGCTCAAAGAACCACGACCCCACATGATGAGATGAAGTGGCCAATGACCACTATGGGAAGACTCACCGTGACAACCTCTACAAGCAGGAGAAAACATACTGCTGCGTACAGAGGAAACTGTTTACGATATTCCGTCTCTGCTTAATTCATGTCTTTATTGGGTATCAATGCGCGGGCCCACGGAGAGGGAGTGCTGCTGTATCATCCGCCTGAACGAATTCCAACGCGACCGCAACCGCCCACAACCTCGTGCGGCGTCCTCCTCCAGCAACTAAATCATGCCGACGCCGTCGACAAAACGCTCCCTCTAGAGTACCTATATGTATGCATAATGAAGAGCTCTTGAATCGTGGAATGACTCCCTGTCCGACAGCCGTCCCTCGCTCCCCTAGAGCCAATCAAATCAGCTGTTGCTGCTATTTCGAGACACCTTTGACTCCACATCGTCGTCGTCCGCCCCGCTGGCACTAGAGTCGAGGCTCGACTTCCGGTTCTGCTTAAGAGCCGCCGCCTCGTTGGCCTCCATCTTATGGAGCTTATCCATCTGCGAAGAGTTGATGGCTTGTTCGCCCGTGAAGACCTCGAATTCGTCATCATCGTCGTCTTCGTCTTCGTCGCTGTCACCGGCGGCGCTGGCCGGTGCAGAGGATCCGCCGGGATCCGCTGTGCTCGATTGCGAGAGGCCGGATGGGATTGACTGGTGCCTGGGATGCAGGAAAGCGTTAAGATCGACCGGCTTGATGGTTGGGTCGAAGGCTGCCGGCAGCCCCAGGGCTTTGGCGACCTGATGGGCCTCTTCGTCGGCGGTGTTGCGAACTTCCACATTGTACATGCTGCTCCTCTCGCTGTCGGCCTCATGCTTGCCGCCAGTCGCTGACAGCATGCGCACGTACGTCTGACGTTCCGAGTCGTTCTGCCTCTTAGATTTCTTCTTCTCCCGCTTCTCCGTTGGTCGGACCACGACAACGGGGACGGGCGAATACTGCAGACAATATTTCGAGAAGGAGTTGCGCGTGTTGACCAAGCCCTGTAGGCCACCCAGCGATCTTCCTCTCGTACCTACGATGAGCATAGCAGGTTGGTGGATTTGGATCTGGAAATGACGACGTCTGTCAGCGGCTGCTACATAGTGGTTGCCGTCATGTGCTTCTTGATGTGGCTGACTTACTAGTCGCTGAAACGTTGCGTGTAGCTTGCCGCTCGCATACTCCAGCACGATTCTGATGGCGCGGTTGAGGCCATTGCGCTGAACGATGCTGTCCATGACCTTTTGCGCCTCGTCTTGATAGGCCTTGTTGGTGTCGGCAGCTCGGAGCTCCTTCTCGATCACGCGTACGCACACAACTTCGTCTCCATCGTCAACAAGCTCGTCGAGCAGCCATTGCAACGCATAATCGGAATAGGCGTGTTCGTCGACGCCTACCATGAAGGTGCGCGATCGTCGTTGCGCCTGGTAACCCTTGTGTCGGACATCGAGCGTCAGCGAGAGCGTGTTGTTCTTAGTTGCCTCGCCCAGCGGCAGGTTGTCGAATGCGACATGTGACTGGAATCTGTCCGACACAGAAGTTTGAGTTAGCGTTGCCATTAAGTAATGTTTTTTCAAAAGAGTTGGCGATTAAAACCCGCAAAGAGGCAAACGAGATGATATGTGATAAATCAGAGAAGTGCAATGGAGAGGCGAGAACGCGAAGAGACCACTGGTCAAAGTCAGGGGGGAAAGAGGTTGTAGTTTGGCAGGAGGCAGCCTGGAATCAGGCCAGCGGGCGGGCGGGCGGACGAGTTGCGACAGCAATAACAGCGATTTCCCGCTTTCTGCGGGGACGTCACGATTCCTCCAGGCCCAGGGTGGCTGTGGGGATCTTTCGACGGGCGCTTTAGGTGCCTTTTTTTGGTATGGTGCCTCGCCCAGCTCCCGTCCGCATGGCTTTCTTTGTGAACAGCCCACGAAAGAGGTACAGACGCATGCGGCGGGGTAGTGGGGTAGCGAAGTGTAGCGCCGGCGAATGGCAGTGCATATTGAGCCAAAGAGGTTGCTGTCGTGTGAGGACCGATGGAAGGCTGCATCTGGGCCCGGTGCGAATTCCATGTAAACACAGAGCGCTTAGTGAGGTGCCCGGCGACAAAAGAAGAGGATGCCCGGGTAATGCGTGCTGGCGAATGAAGGGGGTCCATCACGGCGACGCTGTCATCACCGAGGTCGCCATCATAGAAAAGTCGAATTCGTCGCTGGTCGTGCGACTCCACCAAAACATCGGTCCAGGCGCTGAAGACAGCACCCCCTTCCTATCCCACGGTCCTTATATGCAGCTCCCCCGCATCCAATGCGCATCTGCGTGGCCTTTGACAGCCGTCGGGTGGGGACGAAGCGGCGGCATTCCGGAAAGTCATCGTCCACTGGGCACTGCGCAAATTGGGAGGTCGCAGTGCTGCAGGACAGCGGGCGATTCGACAGCTTAACCGGTGTGTTCCGATAATTGCAAAAGCTGCAGAATCGACGCACGTAAGGAAAGTGCAGGGGGGGCGCATATATAGTAGACTGTCACCCCATAGCTACACTGTAGACAAGCTATCCGCTTTCCTGGTAACGTACTTACGTCCCATCGGTCTCTCAGGCGTCAAAGTCTCGACGCCTTGCGAGACACGACGATGTGGTGCACGAGGCATGACATTCGCAGATTGAGTGCTTGGTGAGAGGACACGAGAGGATGGGAAAATAAACGAGCCTCAACAAAGAAAAGGCTATGCTTACCTTTCAGGAGGAGGTGACGATGCTCGGATACGTTCCTTGCCCGTCTTCTTCTGGTTGCCCTGCGGCAATGATGGATTCCGCGGCGGTGCGAAAGCAAGCGATGCAGCCGATGACCCTCTAGGTCTCCCTACATGGGACTCTGTCCTCGACGATTCGGCTGAGAAGCTCCCCGATGCGCTCACCGGGGAAGGGCTTGCATAGCTCGAAAGCGTCGTCACGCGGCTCAAGGGCTCTGCATCAGCGGCGTTGGTGTTGTCTTCTTTCTTGGGCGGTTGCGGCTCAATGGAGAAATAATCCGATTTGGGCGTGTCCGAAGGCTGTGCCGGTGTTTTGGGCGAGATGTCGGATCCAGGACTCTCGATGTCAAGCATCGACCGTGGGACGGGACCCGCCATTGTGTGTCGACGCTGCGGCGTAGGTTGCGGATCCCACTGGGTTTTCGGAAAGGTAATTCTTGGTGGTGGTGGTGGTGGTGTTGAGAGAGTATCTTTGCTGTCCTTGCTCTTCTTCTTCTTTTTGCCGCTTTGCGAAAGCAGGAATACGCTGCGCCAGTTTTCCGAGGGCCTCATTGAAGCCTCTGAGATTGCTGTGTGGCCGGTGTCAGCATGGGGACGGCAGGCAGGCAAGCACGCAGTGGACGCCAGCAGAAGCCAGAACGAAGCAAGTACGGCAGCGGAAAGTTCGTCAACGGGAAGGGCGGGGGTAATGTGCCCTGGAAAGAACTGCAAAGCGATGTGCAAAAGCTCAAACGTGTTTTGCGTGCGCAAGTGGTTGGTGGTGGACTGACTACACCGTCTAGAGATGGAAAAAGGGCGTCGTCTGCCGGCTCGGGAGGGCGTATCGAATGGTAGACGGTCAGAGCGCTTTGTCGTTGAGTGTATTGTGTGGAAGGCTCAATAATAGTGTGAAGTATCGATGGGCGTATAAGAGGCGGTATGGGTGGTACGAGTGGTATGAGTGCAGGGGAATTGAATGTTTATGTTTCCTCGCATCGACAGAGATGAACGGCCCTCGGTGCGCACGATGCTGATTCGGGGTGTGTCGTTTTCAAGGTTGCAAGTAGGGGAGAGGCGGGTGGAAAGAGTCGGTTACTTGAATCAAAAGAAATGCCCAGCAAAAATACCAACTAGGCAATGTTGGCAAGCGCGGACGGTGATTTTTTTATGAGAAAGATGTGGCTCTCTTATTGAACAAGAGAAGCAGCGTAGGAGGCTGTTCCGCCAAGGCTTGCCGGTGCTTCACAAGGCACAGAAAAGGCCGAAGATGGTGTTGTTGTTGACGAAGGCGAGGAAACGGGTCGTGTGGCGTAGCGTCGGCGCCAGTTTGAGGGTCGAGTGTCTTGGTGACGGCAGACTGGAGGGGTGAACAGCTGATGTTTCTTAGTCGAACGGGTATACCAGCCGCGCTCCAACACGGGGTGGTAAAGATGGGGGGGAGGTTGAGCTTGGGTCGCGGATGGGAAAGAGGTACAGTACAGCACGATGGCGAAGAATCGATGGGAGAGGCGCTCTGATACTCTCTATAACAAATTCGTGGTGGCGGCCTGTGAGCAACAGGATGCGGGGGGAGCGTGAGAATGTGTGTGTGCAGTGTGAACTGGGGGTAGAACAGTGAGATGATGAGACTAGACGGTTTTGGCGGAAAGGATGTCTAGAAATAGGGTTGAAGGGGCAAGGCGTGCGTCGTTGGGTGATGATGCTGTTTTTTTCTTTTCTTCTTCTTCTTCTTCTTTCCCCAATAGACTTCGATGCCGGTATGGAGAGACAGGCAACGAACCGGAGGATGCGAAGGGGGAGTTGCTCTGGTCTAAGTACCAAGTACAGGTCCCAGTGTGGTTTGCTGTGCTGCGCAGTGCTCCGCAAAGTTCCAGCAGTCGGACCCTCCCAGCATGGAGCTTATGCAAAACTTGGGCGTGACGCACAGGTCAAGCTGTTAAGGGAGAAGGAGAATTGGGAGACACAAGCAAGACAAGCAAGCAAGCAAACGAGCAAGCAGGGCAGGGGTCGTGGTGGATGCTGCTCTCTCTCCGGACTTAGGCCTAGCCTGGCTTTCGGATTGGTATGCGGTGGGCGATGGGCGGTGGGCGGTACGATGGACAGGAAAGAGAATGGGAAGACCTTGAGGAGGCAAGGACGGGCCCGGTGCAGGTGAAGAGTAGGCCGGAAGGAGCAACATGGGTGGGGTGGCTAGCACCCAAGAGAAAGGCTATTCGATCATGTCCGTCCGATATGAGACTTACGTGTGCAGCAAGGTTTGCGGGTGGACTATGTACCCCCTCATGTCGGTTTCTGTCATTTCCTGATTTTATTGTTGCCCACCACTGCTGCATTCTTTATATGTCAGAATGAGTACCTGTGCCTACAGAAGAAGTAGCCATAAGGCAGCAGCAGTATCATATGACTAAGCTGGATCTGCGTTTGATCTTGCTAGGCATCTCATCTGGCAAGAAGACATTGTCTGCCTGCCTCCTGCCTTTTGTTCAAGAACAGGCATCTCAGCTGAACACAAGCAAGGAAAGGAAAGGAAAGGAAAGGAAAGGAAAGGGCGAGCGAGGTGAGTGGTGAAGTGGAGCTGAGGTGAGAGTGGAAGGTGGGAGCTAGGGCCATCGCAAGGCACCAGCTGCGCCAGCTGCACTTTCCGGTTCACCATGGTACCTTGCCTTGCCCCACCTGATGTCGCTGAGGTGGTGGGTTGCAACTTTCGTTTGGAAGGAGCGTAGAACCTGCCTCCCTTCCATAGCGGCAGATCAACTCTCGAGTCGAGTTGCTAAGGCTATTATTGGTGGTGGTCCGCGCCCTCCTACCGATTCCCAGGATAAACTTGCTTCATTGACACATGTCGAGTAGAAGCAGCCGCATACATACCATCCTTACAGCAAGCCTTCTCCCAACCATGTCAATTACGGATACGGACAGATCCACGACAACCATGCCTCCAGGGCCCTTCCTCGCCACAGCGATGCCAGCCTTAGTGAGCCGAGAGCGCCAGACCTCCCCCCCAAAATAAACCCGAGGTCATGATCCAAAACTTGCCAAGACCACATCAACTACCGAACCCAATCATGCTCCGTCTCTAACACGCCTCTAATGTCTCCGTCGGGCTCTAATCCCACATTTTACACCACCTCCTTCACAACTTTCAAGCTTCTCTGGTCCCGTCTTGATCTCTTTGCTACCTACACTACAGCATGCACGGCCTTGAGCGATTAGCTTTCAACGACAGAGTGTACTGCATAGTATATGCTTGCCCGCCACTACACAGCAGAAGACGGCTCGTCAGATATGGCTCTGAACGGACGAACTGGCCGGCGCTGGTCGCCCGCTCTCCGTTTGTTATCTGCTGTACGCCCGTGTCATAATCCTGCAGTGACATGACATGATCGCCGAGCAAGTGGGTGTGCAGACTCCTCCGTCAGTGGTTCCCTACCTATGCTCACCTCGTCTTCCCCTCAGACGTCCTGGCGTGTATTACTCCCATGCGTACATGGCTCCTGACAGAACTCTCCCCATGCCGCGACCCCCTGTCGTACCTGGTTTAGGGCTCGCAAGACAGTATTCCAGACGCAGAGTTCACCGCTGTGGCCCATCAATCTCGTCAGTTGTCCTTTGGAAATCATCCCACGATTCCCACGATCCCCATCTTACTTGTTACCCCCTAAAAAAAACATCCCACCAGCGTGGATGGCGGCACACGGCAGCATGCCGCGCCAAGATGATTATCGCCGCCGGAGGGGTCTCCCAAACGGTACGCCCATCAGCAGCAGTCCGTTGCCTTTCATGCATGCACATTAACGTCTGCCCAGCCGGCCTGCAACCTTTTGCTCAACTCATCGCAACTTCATCCCTCCCTCTTGTTTCTCTTGGCCACTCGTTCACCTCCAACTAGGTCTTGGCAAACCACACAGGCGTGGCGGCCAATCTTCCCCGTTCCCAGGATAGGGGAGTCTGACTCTGAGCCTGGCTCGAGTCGGTGTGTGTATGTGTGTACGCGCGCGCGCTCGCGCCCTAGGCTGCTTTCTTACTTCCGACCTTGCTTCTCCTCATTTCTTCTCGTTAATGAGATGCCCATGGGCCATACCACACTCGTCGCTGGGCCCTGGTCCGCAGCTTCGCAACCTAGCCCGTCCCATCCACACTTCGTGCCCAACGCCAAGACGCTGCCAAGCCATAGGTATCTTCACCTTTCCTTACAAACACAGCATGGTCCAACGCCTGGCTTGGTGTACTTGACCCAATTCCGTATTGGAGCTGGCGGGAGCGCCTACGTCCCACTGTCTTTCTTTCGGCACGCGAGTGTCTTGGCCATGACCCATCCATGTTGCAAGGAGCTGTCTTGGTCGCTGGGGTGCGGTTTTGAGGGGTCGGTCAGATCACGTTGCACGCTACAGAGTACGAGAGAGCACAGGCGAGACAATCAATGATGTAGCCCCGAGAAGGGAATCACGGAGAGCCAAAAAAGGGATGCGTTTCCAAGACACCAAGCCGGCAGACACAAGCGGTCGGGAAGAGAGGCAGCCCATGCCAAGCAGCGGCGACGACGACGACGACAGTCGGCAACCGACATCTCTTGAGCTTTTCCATGGAATTCGACCACGCGTTGTAAATTGCCATGATGCCATTCGCAGCCCGCCGTCCCGATCTTCCGGCGTTGCTTTTTGTCGTCGACAATTCTCCGGTCTGGGATGTATCACCTCTCGCCGGCATCATGGTCACCATGGCAAGACTCACCGCCGTGTGCGTCCTGCAGTCTCACCGAAACAAAACGCCGCAAGGTTTTTTTTTTATTCTCGAGCTTGATTGATGGACCAGCCATATCGCCCATCCGAACCACGAGGCCGGCGGGGACCCGTGCTCGCTTCCCGTTTGTCGAATCTCAGCTTGCTTTCGTTGGTCAGGAATGACAACCTTGACAGTTGATAGTCAATTCTAAGCTTGAAAGGGTAGCTTGCCTGCTTCCTTCTCCCCTCCCCCACCGCCACTGTCGATTGGCGGGACGAATAACCGAGAGCCTCCAAAGATAACGATTCTCCTGGAGGCGGAACTGGTCGTCGACGACCAGACAGCCCGATCAAAATTACATCGCCGCCATGTAAGATGAATGTCTTGCCGTTTCTTGCCGTCACGCATGGCGGTCATGTCCAGAACCCGATGCGGTGTGAGACCTATCTGTGTGCCCTATGGCCTGCGTCCAAGCCGGAGTCTTGCGGCACGCAATCAGCCACCTCGCCAGTGCGACCTCTTACCTGCTTACTCGGTGCAGCGTCCCTATCTGAAAGACAACCTGCACCTACCAATACCAGCGCCCTCATGCCGGCCAAGTCGACAGATTGTATGGACAACTGCAACCACATCTGCTAGTCCCACGATCGGTTGCGTAAGTTCAAGCGTAATCATCTGCAATGGCTAGCGTGCATGCCGAAATGCCTACGATAGCCGAGCAACGACCGTTCATCGACCGTGTCACCATGCTCATCCGTCCGGCGGCATCCCAGCAGTTGGTGCCGAGAGGGGATACGGATTGGTCCCGGGACAAGAGACCGACGTCAGGCGCAACCCGTGATGTTTGATATCCAGGCTCTCCAACGCACACCTTCAAAGACGCCAACAGGTCTTGGCAATTCCAAGACTCGCAGAGAAGGGCACACGCATGCACACAGGGCGGAATTTGACTCGCAGAGAACTCAGCCAAGACTCTAGGTGCACAGCTCCGGGCCAGCTAAGAAGAATAACGTGAGACACCGGCGAACGTTAAACAAACTAGCCTCGCACATGCCCCGTGGCTACCCATATTGGCCTGGGGGATTTGGAAAGTCACACACACACACACACACACTACTCCAGCGGTCCATCCCGTACCCGTCCCCGGCCGACCGACCATTTCCCCGGTCTGCCGTCGCGGCGGCTACTACGGCAATGCGTGAAACGGAACCTGTTCCCCCGCGGGATCCGCTCAATCTTCGTCACAGATAAATCATCGGATAATATGTGGGATGTCTTGGGTAACTGCGAGAAATCCAGCGTCCTTTTTTCCCTTGCCTACCTAATCGTTTCGATACCAACATCCCCCTCTCCCCTCATCGACATGCCGATGTGGGCCAAGATAGCCCCTCATTATCCATCACTCTCCATCTGCCGTATCTTCTTATGTATATATATATATATTGGTCTTGGCATTTCCACAAAGCACAATGTAGATCTGAACCTTAAGCTTGTCGAGCATACAACGTTGCATGCAATCTTTCCCGGATAAACGTGCCTAGACGCGTGTTCATTCACAGTACTCCGTAATTTTCGATACATTCCCGCGCTTCGCGGCGGGGGCAGAGGGGGGCGGGGAGGTTGATCAGCGTCAAGGGCGTACCTATCGCGAGAAACGACAAAGACGGGCGGCAAATGCCTTTCCCACTCTGCTTTTCCCTTTTCTTTTCTTTTCTTTTCTTTTCTTTTCTTTTCTTTTCTTTTCTTTTCTTTTCTTTTCTTTTCTTTTCTTTTCTTTTCTTTTCTCTCCTTCCCCCCCAACCCCCCCCTTCACCCCCCCTTTTCAGAAAGACGCGAGGCAAGGTATCTGATAAGACTGTTGTGGCTTGCTGCCGGGCAAAAACTCTGGCTTCTACGGACAGGCGGGCCGGCCTGGCCGGCTGCCTACTCAGTCTTACCGATTTTGGGTTTTCGACACTGATATTTTTGCTTGCTTGCTTGCTTTTCAACCCTGGGCCACTTCACTTCAGCTCTCGGCGTCCGCAACGTACCTCCCCGTCCAGTCCCTGCAGCAAACTGCACGGTGGTGCCTTGAAGAAGAAAGAAAGAAAGAAGAAGAATAAAAAAGCTTCGGTTGGGCATCGTACTTATAATTCTAATTTATTTCCCTTTGGTTCACTTCATCCCGCCCCCAGCCGAACCAGGTCCAGTGTTCCAGGAAGCAAAGACGCCTGAACGCCGTAACAATGCGAGCATCCCTCTGCCGGGGCCCTCCCATTCTCTTCCCAAGTGTTCTTTTTTTTTTGTTCACTTCTCTCTCTGTCTCTCTCTCTCTCTCTGCCTCGACATCCACTGGTATCGTCAAGCGCGAGGGGAAGAGAGTATGTTCTTCCGCCCCTTCCGCTGGCAGGTCTTTGGTAACTACATACGCGCGGGACACATGTGCCCCCGCCAACGCTCACCAGATTTTATATCTTTCGTCGTCGTGCTCTCTTCTCTTTCCTTCACGCGGCCCGCTGACTCGTACCCGCCTTGCCTTCCTGGGTTGCGTAGACCGTAGTGTGCTACGATCGCTCAAGCGTACGTGCGGGACAGGTTGCGGAGGTACCAGTCCACCAGCTTGCGGCCCACCTTGGCTTCCGAGATGTGAATGAGATCCTATGTGGCCGGGTTAGTGACGATTTCACGGGGAGCAAACGGGTTGAGTGAGGGGCCGGGGAACTACTTACACCCTGCATGGCGTAGTCCAGGTCGCTGATGTTGACGAGGTCGCCGTCGAGCAGGCTGGGGTGGTCGGTCCAGCGCAGCTGCTTGGTGCGCTGCTTGTTGACGAGAAGCCAGGAGCGGAGCTCGTCGGGCTTGACCTCGAGGAAGCCGGCCAGCTTATTGAGGTCCATGGTGGTGTACAGGCGGAGGTAGGACTTGACGGTGGGGCTCCACATGTTGACCTTGACCTCCTCCATGAAGACGGCCAGGTGGTGCTCGACGGGGTCGATGTTGGACTCGGGGTTCTCAAAGTCGGGGGGCACGGGGGAGATGAACTTGGGGCAGGCGGAGCGGAAGAGCTCCTCGAAGATGGGCAGGGACTCGGGGCCGCCGCGCTGGAGCTTGAGGAGCTGGTCGCCGTACTTCTCGCGCAGAGCCGAGTGGATGGTGTCGTCGAGGCGGGTGGGGTGGAAGGCGACGCAGATGGCGATGAGGGCGTACATCTGGTCGTTCTTCTTCGTGATGGAGTCGTACTGGGCGTTCTTCTGGAAGTTCTTGGTGCGGGAGACGTAGACCAGGATGTGGCTGAACATCTTGATGGCATCGGCGTAGCGGTGCATCATCATGTAGGAGAAACCGACGTAGTAGTACGTGGTGAAGTGGGCGGCCATGACGCGGGCGAACATGGCCTTCTTATTGAGCTCAATGTCGTCGAGCGTCTTGAGGGCGAGGCTGAAGTCGCCGAGCAGGCAGTGCACGCGCAACAAGCCGATGATGGAGAAGTAGCCCAGCATGCGGTACAGGTTCTTGTTGCCGTACTCGCCGGCGACGGCCATGGGGTCCTCGTTGCGGCGCATGGCGGCCAGCTGCTCGGTGATCTGGGAGCGCTGGATGAGCGAGTAGAGGACGTTGAGGACCGAGTAGCAGCCCCAGGTGTTGGGGTTCTCCTTGAGGACCTGCATCTCCTCCTCGTTGTTGCCCTGGCGGGCGATGCGCATGCGGTAGGAGGAGAAGGAGTTGAACTGGTAGATGAACTCGTCGATGACGTCCCATGCCCAGTAATACTACAGCACACGCACCGTTAGCATCAAGTATTTTTTTTTTTTTCATTTCCCCATCATCGGCTATGCGTTGGTCATGACGGCAATTGTGACCTGAGGTGGGGGGAGGAGAATGAGGGAATGGGGACATACCGAGGGTGGCTCGAGGTCGACGGGACCCTCACTGTTCAGGATGAAGTGGAAAAGACTGCAGTACGAGTCGTAGCTCTGGAACTTGACCTCGAGGGGCGCGGAGAAGTCGAGGGGCTGGGCGGCGGCGGCGAGGCGCGACTGGATGTCGTCCGTCTGCTGAGCCATGGTGAGGGAGCTGGACTGCTCAAGGTCATCGCCGATGTTGTCCTCGTACTGGACCTGCTCCTTGTAGTCGTTGACAAGGGCCTCCTCCTCGACGTCGCTGTCGTCGTCGATGGCGCGGGCGGGCCGCTCTCCATTCTGGTAGCCGCTCATGATGGGTGGTCGGTGTGAGAGTGTGTATGAATGTGTGTGTGCGTGTGTGTGTGTGTGTGTGTGTGTGTGTGTGTGTGTGCGAGCCGGATCTATTTCCCACTACGGAAGGAAATTGACGGATCCGAAAGGTAGGGGTGCGACTAGGCGAGCGTCGTGATGCCGTCAACTTTTGGTGTTGAGGACAGATGGGCGGGCGGTCGGGAGGGAGGGGGGGGGTTCGGTCGAAGGAGAGGGATTGGGTGGGGGTGGATTTCTCGACGAAAAATTTCCTCTATTCTCCTCTGAGGGGGGCGCGCGTTTGCTGAGGTATCGCAAAGTGAGAGCAAGTGGTTTTTTGCGATTAGGGTTCGGTTCCCCCAGTGGTTCCCCGTTAAGCCGATATGCGGTACGCGTAGTTAATGCGTCTAGGCGGCATTTTGGCGGGGAATCATGTTGTACGTTTTTTCTATTGTTTCTCGTGGCGGGGTAGAGACGCTGGGCCCGCTGAGGTAATTCACCCACTCCCCAAATCGACCGATCCTCCCCCTCCCTCTATAGGTATGGTAAAACAACTTGGGGGACAGAAAGACCCAGAAAAGCTGCATATATACATACACTATACAGAATTACTCATCGCTCATCCAAGTATCCAACCGCTTTGAGCTGACCTCAACCCCCATCTCCTTAATCTTGACATAGGTTGCTGGTTCTAGAGACAGAGAGTCATTGGCATATCCGTGCAAAACTTCTTACAACGGTGGCGAATCACAGCGATTTTTTCCCTCTTTTCTTGAGTCCCCGTTCCATTTCCAACCCAGACCAGGCCAATATATTAGTCACAAGCCAACACCAATTACTTGGGAGAAAGCATCATCATCACCACCAGCGCCATCGTCAACATCAATCTTCGCCTTGGAAACCCTCTCCCACTCTTACCAGGCCCCTCCCTTACTTGAGCACTTGCGTTAAAAGCCTCGAGGGCTGCTCGGCGGCTTTCACATATTTTTACACTGAAGCCTGCCTGCTCTTCCATCCACTTCCTCAGTTCTTCCATCTGGCATTTCCTTCTGTCCATACGTCTTTTGATACCCCCTTCAGCCCCATCACCGCCCTTCCTTGCTTTCTTTCCTGTCTTCTTTCCCTTACGGCATAAGTGCCCGTCATGCCTGTCGTCACCCCCGATAAGTTGGCTAGACTCCAAAGGCATGCTACTGATGTGCGAAATGTATGCTCTCCTTGTCCCACATGTATGTCTGTCATCACTAATAAACACCTCTAGATCTGTATCCTGGCCCACGTAGACCATGGCAAGACGTCTCTAACAGACGCCCTCTTGGCTACAAACGGCATCATCTCCCCCAAGCTCGCCGGCAAGATCCGCTACCTCGATTCGCGGCCCGACGAGCAGCTGCGCGGCATCACCATGGAATCCTCCGCCATTTCTCTTTACTTCTCCATGTTGCGCCGCTCCGCACCGGACGCCGAGCCCGAGGCTAAGGAGTACCTCATCAACCTCATCGACTCGCCTGGCCACATCGACTTCAGCAGCGAGGTCTCGATCGCATCGCGCCTGTGCGACGGTGCCGTCGTCCTCGTCGACGCTGTCGAGGGCGTCTGTAGTCAGACCGTCACTGTCTTGAGACAGACGTGGACTGAGAAGCTTAAGCCCCTCCTCGTCATCAACAAGATCGACCGCCTTGTCACCGAACTCAAGATGTCCCCCGCCGAGGCCTACACGCACCTCAGCAAGATCCTCGAACAGGTCAACGCCGTGCTGGGCAGCTTCTTCCAAGGGGAGCGCATGGAAGAGGACCTCAACTGGCGCGAGCGTATGGAAGAGCGTGTCCAAGCCGCTGCCGCCAGGGAGGCGGGCACGGATTCGACGACGACGACGACAACGGATTCGGGCGACTTGCAGTTCCAGGAGAGGGACGACGAGGACCTCTATTTTGCGCCGGAGAAGAACAACGTCATCTTCAGTAGCGCCATCGACGGGTGGGCCTTTACAGTCAGACAGTTTGCGAGCTTGTACGAGAAGAAGCTCGGCATCAAGAGGGGCACGATGGAGAAGGTGCTCTGGGGCAGCTTCTACCTCGATCCCAAGACCAAGAAGATCCTAGGCCAGAAGCATCTTAAGGGGAGGAACCTGAAGCCCATGTTCGTTCAGCTGGTGCTGGAGCCCATCTGGACCGTCTATCAGGCCACCGTCGGCGGCGATCAGGGCCGGGGCGACCCGGCGTTGCTGGAGAAGATCACAAAGTCCCTCGGGCTCACCATCCCCCCGCACATCATGCGCTCCAGGGACCCCCGGCTGCTCCTGACGACCATCTTTTCGTCCTGGCTCCCGCTGTCGACGGCGATGCTTGTCTCCGTTATCGAGTCCCTCCCGTCACCGCCGGTAGCGCAGGCCGAGCGGCTGCCCGAGATGCTCGAGCACGTCCCCGGCGCGGGCTCCGTCGATGATGCGATCAAGGACGCCATGGTGTCCTTCAAGACGGGCCCGTCGGACCCCGTGGTTGCGTACGTTAGCAAGATGGTCTCAGTCCCCGAGAGCGAGCTGCCCCACAACAAACGCAAGCCCGGCCAGCTGACGGCTGACGAGGCGAGGGAGCTCGCGCGGAAGAAGCGGGCGGAGGCGGCGCGCGCCCAGGCCGCGGCCCCGTCCGGCGCCAACGGCGTCAACGACCTCGCGACGGCCCTCGAGGAGGTCAACCTAGACGACTACGCCCCCGAGCACGAAGACAAGGAGGTCGATCCGGAGCATCTCATCGGCTTTGCGCGCATGTACTCCGGCACCCTCTCCGTCGGCGACTCCCTTTGGGTCATCCCGCCCAAATGGTCCCCCTCGAACCCCGGCGCCAACCCGCAGTCGAAGCAGATCACCGTCACGGCGCTCTACATGCTCATGGGCCGCAACCTCGAGTCGCTCGAGTCAGTCCCCGCGGGCGTCGTCTTCGGCATCGGCGGCCTCGAGGGCCACCTGCTCAAGAATGGCACCCTGTGCAGTAAGCTCGAAGGCGCCGTCAACCTCGCGGGCGTCGCCAATCTCGGCAAGCCCATAGTCCGCGTCGCCCTCGAGCCCGTCAACCCGGCAGACCTCGACAAGATGATCCACGGCCTGCGGCTGCTCGTCCAGTCCGACCCCTGCGCCGAGTACGAGCAGTTCAGCAGCGGCGAGCACGTCCTCCTGACCGCCGGCGAGCTGCACCTCGAGCGCTGCCTGACAGACCTCAAGGAGCGCTTCGCCCGCTGCGACATCCAGGCCGGCGCCCCCATCGTCCCCTACCGCGAGACCATCGTCCGCGCCGAGGAGATGCGGCCCCCGGCCAATAAGGAGCTCGGCCGCGGCGTCGTCGTCGGCACCACATCCTCCAAGCAGGTCTCCATCCGTCTCCAGGTCCGCCCCCTGCCCGCCGATGCCATCGAATTCCTCCTCAAGAACGGCGACGTCGTCAAGCGCATGTACTCGGACCGCACCGCTGCCTCGCATGGCGACACGTCGGAGGAGCAACCCCCCGAGTCTGGCGCCGCCGCCAGCGACGCCGCCAACGGCGAGGAGAAGATTGACATCGACACGGACTTGACGGCCGCCAAGACCATGTCGCTCGACGACTTCAAGCGCGACCTCCAGGCCGCTCTCGAGTCCACCCGCGGCGGCCGCGAGCACTTCAAGTCTGCCGTCGACCGCATCGCCTCATTCGGCCCCCGCCGCACGGGTCCCAACCTGCTCATCGACGCGACCAAGGAGGGCCTCCTCACGAAGCTCTTCTCGCCCGCCGCGGCCGCGGCGCCCCAGGCCAACGAGGCTCTCCGCCCCGTTCACGTCGCAGACAAGATCCCCTATGCCTTCCAGCTCGCGACGGCCCAGGGCCCGCTCTGCCACGAGCCGGTGCAGGGCATCGCCGTCTTCGTCGAGGACGTGGTGATCAACGCCACCGAGGACGAGCCCACGGCCCCGACGGCGCGCGACCGCCTCCCGCGCCTCACGGGCGAGGTCATCAAGACCTTCACCGCGTCCCTGCGCGCAGGCATGCTCGACTGGTCGCCTCGGCTGATGCTGGCCATGTACAGCGTCGAGATCCAGGCGTCCACCGAAGTCCTCGGCCGCGTCTACGACGTGCTCACGCGCCGCCGCGGCCGCGTCCTCTCCGAGGCCATGAAGGAGGGCACGCCCTTCTTCACCATCCAATCCGTCCTCCCCGTCGCCGAGTCCTTCGGCTTCGCCGACGAGATGCGCAAGCGCACCAGCGGCGCCGCCCAGCCTCAGCTCATCTTCGCCGGCTACGAGGTCCTCGACGAGGACCCCTTCTGGGTGCCCTTCACCGAGGACGACCTCGAGGACCTCGGCGAGCTGGCGGACAAGGAGAACGTCGCCAAGCGGTACATGGACGGCGTGCGGAGGAAGAAGGGGCTGCTGGTCGAGGGGAGGAACGTCGCGAGAGACGCGGAGAAGCAGAAGACGCTGAAGAGGTGAGGTAGATTTGGTGTAATGATGTTGCGGGGGATAAATCTGAAGCGTTAGAAAAAGGGTGGGTTAGAAAGTAGGAGCAACTAGAACATGGACCTTTTTTTATGTTTTTCTTTTTTCTTTTTAATGAGGAATGGAAAATATCAGGCATCACAAACACGTATAATCAATTGTAGTTGACCGCGATTCAAACTACCGCCGCATGAGAATGCATGATGCCCTGTCGGTATACGTGAACTCACTACGCGGCACCCTCTCACGACAACTACTCACTCGCCGCGGGACACAACGGTATATACTCGTACTGTTTTTCAATTCATTCGCTCTCGCCTATCCTCTATTCTTTTGCACCTGACCAAGGCGGGGTGGGGGGCCTGGTGAGCTCGTCACCCCGAAAATTACCCATGACCACCAACGACCTTATAGTCGGCACAGCGACATAAAAAAAAGAGAGAGAAAAAAAAAAGAAAGAAAAAAAAACACGCATCCTTCCGCCTCCATGTTGTTTGCCCCGTCCCATCGCCGGAGCTTCTTCTCGCCTTCATTCTTTTTGGTATCGGAAGGTGGGGAGAAAAGAGTGAGACAGACGCGAGAAAAAAGAAAAAAGGCATCTCGCAAAGAAAGCAATCCACAAAACACACACATGATGGGTTTGGTTTCTGAGTGAAGAGAGGAGTCGGGAGCGTCCGGCAAGAAATCATCAGTCATCGAACAAGCGTCCATACATCTTTTTAGTAAAAAATAAAAAAGTCCATCAACTCTGGGAGCGAGTCATCATCTATCGTTGCACTACGCGTCGCGTTCCGCCAACAAGGGAGGGGTGGATGGGAGAAAGCCGAGAGTGATAGTAGTAGTAAGCTTTGCTTGAAATTTGTGTGGATTCCCTATGCTCCCCTTTTATCACTGGGAGCAGAAAAAATCCTGGCCGAGAGGTTTCGCTGATCTTTGACACCCCCCTTTTTTCCGGATGAGGTTCCGAGTACAGCAGAGGGGAGAGAACAAAGGAAATGAGAGAACAATGAGAAAGGAGAAAAGAAAAAAAAAACATGGTCATGAGCCCCTTTCCTTCCAACATCCATGAGCCGCCAGCTTTTTTTTAGTAACCACTTCGCAAACTCCGATGAATGCGTGCGAGAGTGCGCGCCTTCTCCAGTCGTTGAGAGTCGAGGAGACGTTGCCTTGCCCTCAATGGCAAGCCATTGGAAGCGAAGACCGCAGAGGGTGCCGAGTTAAAAGGAAAGGTGTTTTTTTTCTTCAGCGGATCCGTAATGAGCCGGGTTTAGTTCGTTGGAGGGAAGCCAAGTGTCGAAAAAGAAGATAATCATGCCCTTCAAGCCCCAATTAAGCGGTTCGTGGCGTAAATTCGTTCGTCACAATCGTATTCGGAGTCATCTGGGTATATGTGACGAGAAACATCGTCTAGGCCGCGCATACATACACGCGGGCGCATCTTCTCGGTGACAAATGCGGACTCAACCCCACCAGGTCCGGCTGGACGCTGAATCATGATCGGACTGCGCACGCCCGCCCTCTAGGCGGAGCCCCGCGGGCCGACGTTGCGACGGCCCTTGTTAGGGACCGTGGTCCAACCGTCGTCTTCGACAGGCGCAGAACCGTCGGCGGGCTCAGCGGACGGAGAACCGGGTGACTGCTTCTCGGCGGGAGGGCCGTTGGAGCGGGGAGCACGGCCACCCTCGCGGCCGCCCTCACGTCCGCCCTCGAATCGACCGCCGCCGCGAGCTCCACCGCGACCACCGCGAGGTCCAGACGGGGGGCCACGAGGAGGTCCAGCGGATCTCCAGCTGTTGGCCTCGGTAGCGCGAGACTTGGGCGCCTCCTTGGGCTCCCGGGGCTCCTTGGATCGGATAGGTACCTTCTGCTCGTCGGAACCGCTCGTTTCCTTGGGGGCCTCGCCTTCCTGCGCAGCCTGCTCCTTGGGGGCCTCCTCGGCCTCCTTGTTCTCGCCGTTGGCGGCGGCTTCAGCCTCGCGCTGAGCCTTCTCCTCGGCCTCCTTAGCAGCAGCCTCCTTGGCGAGACGGCGCTCTTCTTTGGCCTTCTCCTCAGCCTCACGCTTCTCCTTCAGCTGTTGCTGCTTCTTTTCCTCAATCAGACGCTCCTTCGCGGCAGTGTCGATAGGACGGGCGGCACCAAAGGGGCTGGCCTTGGAGTCAGTTGCCGAGGGAGACATGACGTCGGGAGCCTCGGATACGGTACGCTTGGCCAGGTTCAACTTGGGACGGCCAACGGGAGCCGCAGGAGCAGCGGCAGGGGAAGAGGGGGCCTCGCTGCCATCGCGAGAGTGGCTGGCGGACTTGCCAGAGGCGTCGGGGCGCATGTTGGATCTCCACTGATTGTCCTTTTCGGCAGCGGTGGGGACGCGCTCAGGGCGGGGAGGGCGAGAGTCCTGGCGGGGGCCCTGGCCTTCACCCCAAGCGGCGGGAGACTCACGGCGGTCGCGGAACTCACGGGGTCCGTCGTTGGTGCGGGGACGGCTGCCTTCACGGGAGCCAGTCTCCCTGGGAGCAACGGGAGAGAGGGGGCCTCTGCGCTCCCAGTTGCCGAAGTCACGGACCTTGCCGTCATCCTCGCGGGGCTCACGGGGCTCGCGAGGTCCACGACGCTCACCGAATTCAGAGGGGCGACGGTCGTTGCCGCCACGTCCAGGCAGGTCGGGCAAAGGCCCCTTGCGAGACCAGTCGCTGAAGTCGCGGTTGGACTCACCGCCACGGTCACCGCCACGGGCTGATGACATGTCAGCAGCTGTGAGAGCATTCGTTCAACGAGGATTACTTACGAGGATCGGCAATCTTGATTCTAATAGCGCGTCCCTGGAAGGTCTGGCCATCCAGAGTCAGAGCCTGCTTCAGTCCCTCGAGATCCTTGAACTCGGCGTAGGCGAAACCCTTGGGGCGCTGCTGCTCGCGGTCCTCGATGATGCGGACGCTGACGATATCGCAACCCTCGAAGAACTCGTTGACGGTCTCCTCGGTGGCATCGTACGACAGGTTGCCGAGGTGGGCGGTGTAAGGAGGTCTCTCGGGAAGCTTCTGAGGAAGGTTTTCGCGAATGGAAGAATAGCCGCCGTAGTCTCCTGCGCAACGGTTAGATGAATGCCAGCTGCGTTCGTCTGAATTGTGAACTCACTTCGCTCGGAACGGTCGCCGCCAGCGCCGGCACCGCTGCTACCCCAGCCACCTTGGCTGGGACGGTAGCCAGCACGCTCGGGGGCAGGCAGAGCCTGAGTGCCTGCAAGCACATGTCAGTGGAAAAAGAAAATTTAGGGCACGGTATTGAGCCGTGGAGCAGTGGCGTACCGGCTATAGAACTGTTAGCACAACTTTGGAAACGAAGTCTGGCAGCGGCAGAAACTTACTGAACGTATCCTCGACCTCATCGGCCCACGATCCTCCGTAGCCTGCCTGATGTCAGCCCATGTCCACAATGTGCGCAGCAATACAGTCGGGTCGATCAAGGACCGACTGTGCGGCAGGCCGGGGTCTCTGCAAGGAGACGGTCGTCGGGGAGGCGGAGGGGTTGCGACTGACTTGAGTCCTGGAGGAAGTCACCAAGCGCCATCTTCACCTGCTCCTTCTTCTTGGGCGCTATGATGACACGGGTTAGTCTTTGTCCAGCTTTCGGGCGAGGCAGTATATTCCGCGACAGAAGGGTAAGGGGGGTACGAACCCATGATTGCGGTGTTGAGGTGGCTTCGCGCGTCGAATCTGATCGATGCGCGATGCGGGGAGTTGGTAAGGGAACCGAACGGTGCGGCTATTCGCTAAGGGTGCGGAGAGAGAGAGAGGAGGGGGAGAGGGCGAGAGAAGAGGTTGGATCTCGAAGGGATATTCCGTAGGGTGAGATGTCGGAGTGAGAATGTCGTGCACCAATGGTGTAGTACGTCGTCGGGTTGGCGATACGTCAGAGGGTATGCGATAGACTTGTATGGCCCAGCTTGCGGTGGTTTGCTGGGGCTGGAGTCTTTGGAGGAAATGTCGAAGTTTTACCCGCGCAGAGCAGGAAAAGGCAGAAGGGTAGATTCAAAGTTTGTGAGGGTTGGATAATTTTCCAGGAGTGGGAGGCACTAGCCCCGCTGTGGCTAGCTTGGTTTTTTCTACCTAGCGCCCCGCCAAAGACGCTTGGGCCAGCTAGGCCGGGAAAACCCGTGATTGAACAATCCCATCAACTGGAGAGGGGCTTCCGGGGGGCCACTCTGCTCAAGTGCTGGTGACTTCACCTGCCAGTGGACTTGACACTCAGCGTTCAGCGCCTCGTCAGTGACTCGCCCCTCTATGCCATCCCCCGCCCCTCCCAGCCCAACCCCTCCCAAGCTCAGCCTCCCACCCCCCAGTAGGTACCTACGAGTAGGTACGTACCGCAGCAGCAAGACCTTCAAGGTCATCAGCAGAAAAGAACAAGAAAGAGAAAAAAGGCAACAATGTTTCGATACCCCCACCTTCCATGCATCTACCAGGTATGCACGCTTTTGAAACTGCACGAAACACATTTCATATGCAATGTCACCTCGCTTGTTTATTCTCGACCCGATTGATGCATGTGCTGCCTTGACGACAGCTTCCCGACTGCATCCATCTGTACGACCCTAGTAGTAGTACCTTTGTTATTCCAACGACACCTCGCTGCACCCTGCCGCTGCACTCACACGATGGCAGATGGCATGAGGAATGGCGCAATGGAACAGCAAACCCGGCCTCGTCGTGGTGTGCTGCCGCCTGGCCTGGTAGATCTCATGGGTCCGCCCCTGAAAGTTGGCGCCTTGACTGGTGAGTGAGATACCGGAGAAAGACGACGTGAGACTTGCCCTCCAGGTGTCTCCTCAACCTATATGGCTAGCAATACTGTGGCTAACGCGCTTCTCGCAGGTACCATTGGCATGTTCAGTGGCATCGCCGTCGGCATTATCCGCGACACCACACCAGCTCTGTTCGCTCTGGCATCCGGCATCCAATGGTTCGCTCTTGGCTCAAGTTATTGGCGTAAGTGGTCCCTCATCGTCTCATTCTCCGGGACGTTGCGCTGATCTCTATCTTTAGTCTCGAGGACAGTGGTGATGAGCGCGTGGGGTGGTGAAGAGAAGCTCTCCAACTCCTCCAAGGCTCAGGCAAGTGCTATTGCGGGAGGTACGGCAGGCATGGTCGGGGGTTTGATCCGTAGGTCTCTTATTCCAACGGATATCCATCAGATCTAACACTGCGCAGGCGGTCCGAAAAACATCGTGCCCGGCGTTATAGTCTTCTCGCTTATTGGAGGAACCGGTCAGGCGTTCTACAATAGTATGCAGGGCCGGCCCGAGGTCACCGAAAAGAAGAAGAGTTTCTTCGATTCGACCTGGAGTCCTCTGAAGAAACTCTCAGATGACGAGTATCGTGAGATGATCGACGAAAAGATGCTCAAGATCGATGCCGAAATCGCTCTCATCGACGAGAAGATTGTCGAGTTGCGCGCAGCAAAGGAGGCGAACCCCCCGCCGCCTCGCCAGGACGTACCACAACCCCCGGCATCCAGGAGTTAATCTGTTAGATGTTCGTCCCCCATGTACAAAATATTTTCACCATCGTCTTAGTATCATGTACCAACAAGCCCATACTGCACTTTAAAGACATCTGTTAATTATTCGAGCGCTTCTTCGCTTCAAGTCTCACGCCTCTCTCCAAAACCTATTACAGTATTGTATAAGTGCGTCATCACCCACTCCCTTTCTTCTTCTCATATAAAGCAGAACGATCGGCTTGTGAACATGTTCCAGCCTTCAATGATGTTCTCCCATCATAGAGGGTCATTGCGCTCAGCACGATGCCACCCAGCCTCTGACCTGTCAACCCTTGAACCTATGTCATGTGGAGTTCTTCGCCTCGGACCAAGGTGGCCCAGATTGAAGCCAGCCGTGATTTCCACAAAAGTGTGAGCGCGTACCAGACAGCGAGGAGCTAGTAAAGGCGGACGCTTATGAGTGATTCTGCATGACAAGAGCTCCAAGCGCCATATTGTACAGAGCTCCGCATTAGAGAATGGGATTTCTAAGCCGCAAAGGATATGAACCTTGGCTTTTTGGTGTTTCCCAATATTGACAAGCTTCCTCCGTACAGTTAGGATGGCCCAACTTTTGAGAGAGAGTAATGCAGATCTCGACAGACCACAATCTATTTTTTCTTTTTCTTCTTGTTTTCGAGGAATGGATGCAGCCTATGGGTCCCCTCCATGGTAACGACCGGATCGCTTCTTTAGCACCGGACTCGCCGGCTTCCTGGCCATGTCAGATTGCCATTCAGGTTGACATGGAATGCAGGAGGGAATCGTTTCCGCATAACTGTAGAGAAATGAACTATCTACAACGAAGTCGGGTCTTACGCTAGCACCTGCCCACGTCCTCAGCCTCAAAGTCTGCTTGCCACAGTAAAACTGGATGCTGGCCTGAGGGTCCGAGAAAGCAAATTATATTCTCTGGGTTCATTTAGCCACAAGCCGATTAGTATCAACCTTTTTTTAGGCACAGAATGAAGCTCTGGATGCGACCTCACTTCCACTTGGGTATGCCACAGACGATCTTCAGTCCAAGGATATATTTCAATACAAGAACCGGCTCGCGTTTCACCTGGGGTATCGAAACAGGAGTGGATCCGTACCTGTTCGAGAGGTAGGCCAGCTTTCAACCCCATGTTGAAGGACTGGAAGAGAAGCTCGCAACTTCGGTAATTGAGACATGAGAGAAAGAAAAAAAGGTTGCTGATACGTTGGCATGGCTCAATGAGTTAGAGAGGCTGGAGACACGGATTGTCAACTAGTCAGAGGCCTGTTCGGACCTAGCACAGACGTGCTCAGCACTCCCAGGGCAGGTAGGCGAGGAACGACCAGGCATCAGCTTGTATATCACATACTACGTAAGGGTGAAGGTATTACCTAGTGTAGTTTGAAGACTATAGAACAGACGCGGGAGGGGTGTCCGACCTTCTCCTGGTCCCTGCACACAATCCATGCCCCTTGCCCGGCTTATCTCGCCCACCGAGACAATATCCGAGCTTTCTATCCATGAAGGGAGGCGAGAATTTGGATCTGGTAAATCCGAAGCCATGGGAAGAGGCTACGGGAGGGCCGGGGGATGATTGATACTTGGGTCGGGGGAGAGACGAAGCGGCGGCGCTTGCTGCACGTGCTAGCTCGAGTAGCCCTAGGTAGAGTAGCCATAGCTTCGGCGCCACATCTGTCCCCTCCAATACAATTGTGCAGTGAGGAAAGGGAGCACGGTCCATTGGTGCTAGTGATGCTGATGCAGCTAATTGTTGAATGATGAATCCCCAATCCCGACGAGAGCTGTACCTAGGTATTAGGTACGGAAAGGAAGTTAATGTCGTGCAGGGGTACGTACCGCGGCGAAAGTAATAGGATGATAAAACTGTAGACACCTGGCAGCTGGAAAGACCCATAGTTAAATAAACAAAGGGCCAATGGAAAGCGACGAGGGCCAGAAAAGGCCAAGCATTCCCTTCGTGCCAGGGTAGGAATTAATCGAGAGTGATGGAATGCCATGCGTTGGCGCCGGGGCTGTACTTGAGCGCGCACCGACGACATGTATCTCCTCACCGAGGAGCAATGACGTGGTACTTGATGTCGATGATGACCAACCACTACTGCGTAGGGGGGGGAGTGGGCTTCCTATTGGTGATTGTCATTTCCACCTGCGAAATTCCCCAACTGCCCTGTTCCTGGATTCCGCCGCTCCGTCCCTTTTTTATTTTTATTTTTTACACTCCCATGCCGACCCGCGATTCTCTCCTGTTCTGTCTTTCCTAGTCCATATTCCGTTTAGGCCGTTGTCTTAGCAATCAATCTTCTTGTCTCTCTACAGATACCTACCCTCGTTATTGTTGTTGAAACAAATCCAAACTGGCAACAGCCGTCTGTTGATTGCTACGTAGGCTCTGGCATTCTGCCATCGCCAACGCCGTTATCTTTCCATTGAACAGCCTGTTAATATATCATAGATTGTACCTCACCCTCTTTGTCCAATTACCTCCGCCATCCGACCAATACCATCTTGCGCAAGCACACACACCTTACCTACACACAAACACTCGCTCTCTCACTCCTCCCCTCCCCCGCTAAGGAATCCCGTACTGTAACCTTACGAATCCCTCCCCTCTGTCCAGGTTTACTGCGTAAGAGCGGACAGCAGCCCACCAGGAGTAGTAGAGTGATTGCAGGGTTCTGTATGGAAAGTCACCTCCACCTCGTGCCGAGAGATCAGTAAGAAAGAACAGACTACAGACGGACAAGGGGCTCAGACGAAACGACGACGTCCTCTCACCTTTCCAACTGCGTCACTCTTCTGCAAGAGCTGCACCTCCGATCCGCCAGCCGTTTCCCGCCAAATCCTCCAAACACGCACAACCACACACTTGGGACACACCACCGCCCGTCCACACTCGACTTCCAGTCCGTTCGTCCCTTTGCCCCAACGGAACGCATACTCCGCACCGTATTGCCGCCATATTTTTGTTTTTTTATTCTTCTGTGGTGTATTAAACTACTCACCACACGCTCTTGTCATCACGACGCTCGATCCCCACAAACCGCCAATAGTGCTTGTCTCTCCCTCCCTATCGACCGGCCAACAAGGGACCTGATCGGCATCCCACTTACTTTCACGTTCCGCTGTTCTTGCGACCCTTCCACGCGACACTTTCACCTTATCCTCGGAGCCGACCACTCGCGCTAGTAATACACACCTTGTCGACTCTGCACCGCGCGGGCGCCGAACTCTGCTGCACCAAGCCGCTGAGTGTACACCACTTTGTTAATCACCCGCTCGCAAACACACCCAAAGACCGATTCTCGACGACATGGCGCGCTCGGATCGTTGGAAGCGGAAGTAAACGTGCGGGATACCACAGAGATCCGCTTCTCTCTAGGCAAGTCGCCCTCCTTTACTTTGCCTCGCCCTTCTGTTTCGCTAGCTTTAGTTCACTCCTCCCGCATCTACTCCGTTTAGAGCACTTTTGGACTAACATTGTGCTGTTGTTGGCGGTCGTACAGATAGCGAAGCCATCGATTGCGCGAGTCGTTTGCGGCCTCACTATGGCTCTGCTCAGCCCGACCTTCATCTTCGGCGTCGTCGTCCTCCTCTACCTGTCCTCCTTTATTCTCTTCGCCGTCGTCCGAATCCTTACTGGCATATCCATACAGAGAATAGGCTATTTCTCCCTCCGCCGGCTCGCGTACACGCCACGAGATGGGTGCAAGATCGAGGTTCGCGGCCTGGGGCTCAACATTCACCGCCCAACATTTGCCCAGCCCACATGGTTGAGTGTCGTCATCAGCGAGCTGACCGTCACGGTCGACATTGGCGAGCTCGGGGGGAAAAAGAGCGAAGACAGTTCTACCGACTCGGACAGCACCGATGCGGAGGAGACTGAGACTGAGACCCAGGCCTCCGAGCAGCCCAAGGTGCCACTATTACGTCGGAACGGCGGCCCTCCGCCTCGGAGCCAGGCATGGAAACATCTAATGAAGCTAAAGGACCGGATGAAGAGGGCCCATCGCAAGCTCAACTGGCTGCGTATGGTCGACGTCGTCGCGAGCAATTCCACGATCAAGGTTGTTGACGTGGGGGATGTGCAGTTCGGAAGCTTAACCGTCGCCGTCGACACGCGGCGTAAGATGGTAGACCGCGCACGCTTCTTCTTCCAGTCTCGGACCGACAGGAACAAGCAGAAACAGCGCCAGGCCGAGTGGATAATGACATTGCGCAGCGTTCTTTTCACACCGCAGGGCAAGGAATCCCTCGAAATCCTCGACAATGCGACGCTGAATATTCACGGATTTTTGTATGAAGCGCTGGACGGGCTGAGAGATGCTGCCATCGCGCTCAAGCTGGGTCGTGTTCATATACCCTACGACGACGTCCGGGTTTGCGCCGATAGACTCAAGCAATGCAAGATGGCCGCGCGCTCATCTACACTGCTGGACGAGCCAGCCGACGTGTTCATTGACAAGGTCATACACGAGGTCGCCCAGCCGGGCAGCACAGACCAAGAACTGATCCAGACGGTATCTGATTCGAAGGAGTTCATTAGCTCGATCCTGAGGGGCGTTAAGGAGGTCCAGTTCGCGGTCAGTTTTATCGGCATGACGAAGAAGGTGGAGTCCGTCAAGCCCAGTGCCAAGCCCGTCATGCTGAATGCTTCCATGAAAGAGGTCGGCATCGACTTGCACCGCCTGGACCCCAAGTCCCCTTCCCACAGAATGTACTTCCCGTCCAAGGACATCGCTCACGAGGCTCTCGCCGCAGCGTTGTCCATCTCTGTCGGCGTCGACGACGGCGACGGCAAGCCGGAGAGGCTGATCTACATCCCAATGGCAACAACCACTGTCAAGACAACATTGCCCTCCAAGACGGTCGAGATGACACAGGACGTGGGGGCCGAGGAGAGGAATGCAAACATTCTCTTCGCTAATTCCGTAGTAACATCTCCTTCGGTAGACCTCGACCCTCGTCACCTACCGCTCATCGTCGCCATGCTAAAGCCCAAGTCCTCGAAAAGGCCACGCATCAACCACCAACCGCGTCATATGCTCATTTCGAGGCTATTGCCGAAGGCTAACATCAAATTTACCATGCATGAGCCAGTCCTCCGCGTCACTCTCCCAGCCGTGGACCAGCACGCCGCTTCTGACGATTTTGATTTAATCATATCTTCTATTTCGTCGGTTTCGCTCGACATGGAGTCGTTCCACTCCTCTGTGGAAGATCTGCACTATTCACTTGCGTCGACCATGCGAGTGCAGTCCCACGAGCTGTACTACCAAACGTCGTCGAGCAATCGATTCGACTTGATAAAAACCGAGTCTTTCGAGCTGAAAGTGCAACTCAGTGCGACCCCGGACGTCCATGTTGTTGCATCGGGCAATTTGCAGACCTCCTCCATCAAGATGGTGCGACCTGAGATCACCGACGGTCTCAGACAGATTGTGCGACAGCTGAGGATGAATGCGGAACCAGAGAAGCGCCCTAACCGACACACGTCCGCTAAGCAGCAGAACTTCCTGCGCGCAATGCCATATTGGCTTCTGCAGTTCCAGCTCCAAGCATCGGATTTCAGCATCGAGATTGCCGGCATCGACGAAGACATTTCCGATGACACCCGCGGGGTGTCTCTGCAGCTCGACGAGTTCTCTGCCGAGTACCGCGCGCAGAGGCTGGATGGACTTCAACGACGGCCGTCACGGCGGCGAGCTAACAGCCGCACCGTCGCCCCCGACTCGGATCTGCTCAGGAGCCCTATCTCACCGCCACCCAGAAAGAAGCAGCAAGCCCACGGTGATGGGCGGAGAGTCGCGTTCCATGTCAGAGGCTTGGAGGCCTACATCGTCGAATCCGAAGATAGGGTCGAACTGGAACCTTTCGTCAATATGCCGCGGTTCGAGGTAGCTTTCCAGGCTTTGAGTGACCAGCAAGGCCCGGTTTTCCACATCCATGCCGGAATCCGTACTGTTCTCTTGCAATACTCCCTTTTCCGCCATTACTCAGTCGGTGTGGCTATCATGATCTTGCGGAAAGCCTTCATGAGGTCTAGTCAGGATATCAGCTCACCGCCCATGTCGCCAACGAGCCCGCGGAAGGAAACCAGCGACCTGCTTTCGCCTCCGATGTCGCCAGAGTCGCCTTTTATTGACATGAGCGAGTACTCAACGGTCACGCCGGAGCTGATAGCGATTGATCTCAAGGCGGCTCTTGTGCAAGTCAAGGCCGAGCTGCCTAACGATCCTCAATTGATGCTGCAAGTTTACGGGGTCGAGGCCGGCCGACACAGATGGTCCGCGCCTTACTTAATGTCGAAGCTCGTTCGTGTCTATGTCAAACCCCCCAGGATGCGAACCACATGGGCCAGGATGATCAGCATCAAGGGCGGCAGGGTTGATTACCGCAAGTCTCGGCGGAAGCTTCCTGACGGCGGCTACCACGAGGATAAGATGATCGACGTAAACTCGGACGCCATAAGGTTCGCTGTACCACACGAGGTTCAGGTTAACAAGATATCGGATAACGTTATCAATACCCTGAAGTCTGTCAAGCAGCTTCATCATCGCTTCAAAACCGGCACAAATGAGTACATCCTTGACAAAGCCCCGGGTGATCCCAAGAACGTATCCAAGGTGTCTGTCCGGACACACTCACTGCTCTTCGAGCTTGAGGACGGTGCGTTCGAGTGGAAGCTCGGAATGATCTATCGCGCAGGTAGAGTCGAGCAGATGCAGCGACTTGCTCGAGAGGAAGCTTTCGAGGTCAAAAAGAAAAAGGTACGCGATGAAGAGTCAAGAAAAGAGTCGGGCAAACTGCGAGCTCGTTCGCTCTTCCATCGCGGCCGGCAGCAGAGCGGAGCTTCGTGGGTCCGGAGCCAAAGTGCAGACGGAAGAAGACCCCGTTCCGACGAGCGCTTACGAGGCAGAGCACCGAGATATGACCCCGATGGCGGAGGCCTCGGTCTCACAGGTTCAGCCTCAGTAGCGGAGCAGGAGGCTCGGGCACGGCTAGATGCTTACAACGCGCAGAGCTGGAAGAAGCGTATCGACCGGTTCTACGTCATGGCAAGGAATGGCATGAAGGAAATCCGCGGTCTTTTCTGGGGTCCTGATCAACTCCCCGACGATCTGGAGGACACGGAGAATATTCTCGAGGTGCCCCAACGGCCCGCACTCATGTCCGCACTCATCACCGATCTCCAGTTCGTTATCGACAAGCCGACCTTCGCGATGAAAGACTTACCAGACTTCATACACTCCGTCGGAAAAGGAATGCCCAAGGATATGAAGTATGGGTTGCTTGTTCCAATGCATGTGTCGATCGACCTTGGCGAGGCCAGAATTTCCCTGCGCGACTACCCGCTTCCCCTTATACACATACCCAGCTTGAAGGCGGGCCAGTCGACAAGGCTCCCGGCCATGTCCCTGAAAACAAACTTTGTGATAGCAGAAGAGTTTCGTGGAATGGAGTCTACGCGCCGTATCAAGGTTAACATTATCCCCCCTCGAAACCACGAGGCTGGCGGCAGTGACGAAGGCGGTTTTGCCATTGACGTCCGCCGTACAATTGGACCAGTCAAGTCGTACTCGAACATGCGCGTTGAAATCAACACAGCTCTGCCAACAAGAATTACCTGGGGTCCAGCCTACCAGCCGGCCATCCAAGACATGATGATGGTCATTGAGTCTTTTACCAAACCCCAAGTCGATCTTTCTGAAAGAGTTGGTTTCTGGGACAAGATACGCCTCAATTTCCATTCCAGGATACATGTGGCTTGGAGGGGCGACGGCGACATGCATCTTGCGCTCAAAGGAACGCGCGATCCCTACTGCGTGACTGGCAATGGCGCAGGCTTTCTGATGTGCTGGCGCAACAACGTCAAATGGAACATCAATGCCGACGACGATCCAAAGCGATTCATGACTGTCGACTCTGGCGAATACGTCTTGGCAATCCCCGACTACAGCCACCAGGTCCGAGAGGCTGCGAGGCGAACAGGTGAAGATGAAAGCCTCATGGGCGAAGACAACTACAAGTCCGGGGCATCCTTCAAGAAAGTGGTGATGAAGCTCTCTGGCAAAGTGCAGTGGATGACCGGCCTCGTTTTCGAACGTGCAATCCAGGATGGGCAACGCAGCTTTGAGTTCCGGCCGCATTACGACGTTGTACTGCGGGCTCCTCATCATGTCAAGCCCGAGGACCAGCCGTACGATGCCTTCCGTGGATTCAGAAGCCAGCACATTCATCTGTCAATCGCAGTCAGAGCCCCCGTGGACCGTGACTGGATGGCGGACAACGTAGAGTCGTCAAGGAGCTACAACACGGTCCATTGTACACCTCGCTTCTTCACTCACTTCTTTGCCTGGTGGTCCCTCTTTGGCGGCGCTATGGCGTTGCCCATTCGTCAAGGATCTCTCTGGCCAGGCCGGGAGCGAAACAGCAAGAAGTTCGGCAAGCACCTCTCCACCATCAAGTATAATCTTTTGCTGGCACCTCTGTTCCTCAGTCACATCTATAAGCATAAGGATGCCGAAGATGCTTCCGACAGTGGTGTTTCTGCGACAGGCCTCAAGGTCCGTTTCGACAGCTTCATGTTGGACCTGCACCAGAGGCGCGAGGAGTTCAACACACGAGACCGCGGTCGCAAAACTAAGGGAAAGACAAGCGGCATCAAGCTTCACGCGGCCCAGCTCGACCTAGCAGCAGCTGATGTTCGCGCCGTTTCCGCAAGTATCCGGGGCACAACGACGGAAGCCATCAAGAAGGGTACCATGGCCAACCTGGTCTCAAATCAGCAGGAGGACGGTGCTGATCTTTCGCGTTTTACCATTCCCGACAACGACTTGAGTTGGATCGACATGGACGACTTTGTAGAATTGGACTGGATTTTGCCAATGGAGCCCAACCCCGATACCAAGATTCTCCCCCTTGCGTTTGCGCCTCGTCTCACCTACTTCCGGCAAACGGATATCGGTGGTGTCATTGCAGGCGATCCGGACCGTAGAAGCCCGTTCGGTGACGAGCCGACTCATTTCTGCATCATGAGCCATGATGACGATCCCCGCCGAGTCCAGGCACAGCTCATTCAGGAACGCCTGGAGCAGCTGGAAGTCCAAATCGAGAACTACGGCAGAAGTCTCGGAGACGCCGAACTTAAAGTTGTGCGCGACGATTCAAAGGACCCCAAACTCGTCGCTGCCTTCGAGAGTTTGCAGCAGCAAGGCGCCATTCTGCAGAGGAAGAAGGCTTACCTGCAGAACATGCTCCGTCAGATGAATAACAAGTCGCCCATAGACGGCAGCAGCACGTTTAAGCGGCGGGAGAACGGTGGCGGCGGCAAGTTCGAAGAGTCTGTCGACCTCGAGCAGGACGACTCCTTGACGATACCCTCCGGCGCAGAGTTTGAAAGTGACTTTAACAACCGATTCGTCATTCACAACCTGCATTTCAAGTGGAACAACACCCTTCGAAACATTGTTCTTCGATACATACACCAGGTCAGCCAGCGGAGAGGTTTCGTCTACTACTTATCTCGACCCGCGGTCAAATTTATACTGGATATCGTAGAGGAGCAGTACAAGGCCAAACAGAACCCCAAGCCGGCTAGCAAGAACAGAACCCCCACGGGGGGTGCCACAGCCGGCACTTCTCCCGATCTCGATGCTGCAGAGCGCGAGTTCAAGCAAGACATTGAGGATCGCATCAAGGATATTCTGAAAGACGGCAAGAAATATGTTGACGCTGGCGGGGAAGACGATGATGATGTCCCCAATTTGCCGATCGAAGACTTGTCGAGCGGTATTTCAGACGAGTTCACGCCACAAAACAGCTACCACGTTCGACTCATTGCTCCGCAAATCCAGCTGCAGAGCGACAAGAATAAGAAGAACGTGGTCATCCTCACCTCGAAGGGCATGGAACTCAAAGTTGTCGAGGTCATGGACAAGAAGAGACTCGCAGACGTGGTCAGCGGTCTCGTGCAGCGAAGATTCCTCGTCAACATGGACAGCACTCAGTTCTTCGTCACTCATCAATCGTACTTCTCGGAAATCGTCACGACCTATGCCGGCAGCCGATACGGGACCCCTGCCACGTCGTCGTGGCCGCCGTGGGTTCCCATGGAAGTAATGTTCGATTTCGAGACCGATCCTTTCGGCTTCAACCGCGTGGTGCAGAAGACCTCGGCCATGCTTCGGTACGAGAAGTACAACACTCTGCGTCTAAAATACAATGACGACGTCAATACCGATGGCGCGGGCGATTCGTCGCAGCCGAGCAACGAGAGGAAGATGGACAACCTCTGGGTCGAGTTCCCACACGCCAGAGCTCTTTGCAACTCTGGCGATTACTACGCCATGTACGTCATTGTACTGGATTTACTCATGTACAATGAGCCTCTCGAAAAAACGCGAAGCGAGCGCCTGGAGAAGATTATGCTGGCCTCGGACTTCAGCGATCTCAGCGGCACACCGGAGATGGTAGAGAAGCTACAAGAGCGCATCCGCCAACTGCAAGACATCAAGTCCCACTTCCAGATCTATTCCAAGTACATGGATGAGCAGGGCTGGGAGGACCGCCTTCTCCTCGAACGGGACTTGGCAGCCTGCGAGGACGAGCTGTTCTTCATGATGAAGGCTATTACGTCTTCGCAGCGCAGGTACGAAACGAACTCTGACAGCAACGCCCTCTTGAAGTGGAGCATCATTGCACGAGACACGGTTTGGCATATGCTCCGAGACAACAAAGAACCACTCGTCGAGCTGCAGCTCAAGGACGTGAGGTACGACCGAACTGATAATGCGGACGGTTCGCACATCAACTTGATCAGAGTCGGCAAGGTCTTTGGGCTGAACCTTCTTCCCGACGCCATGTATCCGGAAATCATTGCACCTTACGTCGATGGCGACAAGGGCGCGGCCGACTTGGGCAGCCAAGAAATGATCCGAGTCTACTGGTACATGCTTGAAGCTATCGCCGGCATCCCCGTTATGGACCATTTCGAAGTCAACTTGTTCCCGATGAAGATCCAACTTGAGCGTGAGGTGGGCAAGCGGATCTTTGAGTACATTTTCCCCGGCATCGATGGCGAGAACAAGGCCAAGAACGATTCACCGTTCATGCTGAAGCACATTCCCACGGAAGACGACGAGGAAGACGATGACTCGCTGTCCGGGTCTGGCCGCCTTACTACTAGCGACAAGGATGGGTTCAACACCAGGCCAGGCTCCCTTGAGCTGCGTCTTCACCCAACGCTGAATTCAGACTCCCCGACCAAGTCGATCAGCAGCAAAAAGTCTCTCACAGTCAACACGGGCGAAGGCCAAGGTCACACGTTCCGCCTCTTCCGATCCGTCGGCACCGGCAAGACCATGTCAAAGAAGCCTTCGTACGAGTCGCTCAAGTCAACGAAGGAACCCCGCCCTGGGATCGGCCGTACATCGACCGGCTTCTCCTCAAAAGAAGGTACGGCCGCCGGCGATGGCAAGAAGTCACGTTTCGGCCTGCGCAAGGAGTCCAAGACAGAAGAGGCCAAGCCGTCCGATGACCTTACTAAGATGATGTCGCGTGCGAGCAACTACATGACATTTGCGCACATCAAGATGCCATCGGTGGTGTTATGCCTCAGCTACAAGGGCAAGGATAACCGCAACGTCGAGGACGTGCATGACTTTGTCTTCCGCATGCCGGCGGTCGAGTGGCGCAACAAGACTTGGTCTAACCTGGATCTCGCTCTCGCTCTCAAGAAAGCAGTTATCAAAGCTCTCATCTCGCATACGGGCGCGATCATTGGGAACAAATTCAAATACCGCCCAAGCGGCGCACAAACTAGCAAGCTTCGAGAACTGGCGACCGGCTCCTCTCTTACGGCACCGGCACCTTCGTCATCATCACAGCATGACGCCGAAAGCATCAACAACAGCGACGATTCGTCAAGCTTGTTCGGCAACTCGCCGGTAGACTACTCCCGATCGCCCCCCCGCTCCTACCACGGCAGTTCGGCTAGTAGTATTCCGATACCGCGATCCACAAGCAGAAGCTCCAGTATCGCGAGTAGCCGCTCACAACAGACCGGCGCATCGAGCAACCAACAGCCCAACGTACCCAGCTTCCTCATGATGACGCCGCCGACGCCGTTAGACAGCCGCGCGCCAACACAAAGCGTCGGCTTCGAGCTGCTGCGCCCCACTTCCAGGGGCAGCTTGGCGCCGTTCGACCAGGCCGGCGGCGGAACTATGAGATCTCTGTCGCGGTCGGGGACGAGCGTGGAACCGGGCGATCGTCGAAGGGCGGCGGGGAGCGGGTTCCTCCGCGACAAGCTCAACCAACTCACACACCGGAAGCGCGACGCAGCTCAGAAGGAGGACAGCCAGAAGCAAGAGAACAAGAGGGAAGAGACGCCGGAGGGGGAAGAGGACCCGAACAACGCCGACGCAGACAGCCCCAGGGGCTCGAAACGGTTCTCCGGGGTGAGCAGCCGGGTCAAGACGGGATAGTAGGAACGAACGAGGCCTTGGCAGTGAGCAATCAGGGCCGGTAATCAAATCAGTGCGATGGAATCAATGAAAAACCAGGGGGGGGACTCAAGCATACGGCGCCGGGTATATAGACTAGAGCCCACCACGGGGCGGGAACAGGGAGGCAAACATTTGGATTCGTTCGTTTTGCTGTGTTTTGTTCCGTCTTCCGACGACACACGGCGTTGGCGGTAAACACATATACACACACCCACACCGCCCAAAGACATTGTCGCACACGCAGACTTTACAACATTGGCCGTTTCATAATTTTTGTACCATTTCATCATGGAAGGGGGGTTGAAGAAGAGAGCCTTAGAGACGTGGGGAGAGAGGTGTGTGTAATCAGCGAAGCATACAAACGGCTTCCCTCTCGGGTCCGTCTTGTGGGATTCCACCCACGAAACCGTGGAGACATGGGAAGTAGACGTCAAGTGTAGGCGGGGAGGGTTGGGGGGGGGTTCAATACAAACTACAAGCGTAATCCTTTTTTCGAAGAAGCATTGGTTATCATAACGAATCTTTTCAGGCCAGTTTGGCGTATATGTATACAGTTGCTGTGTGGATTCATGTGGCATTCCGGCTATAGGGACGGTTCAACGGCAACTTTGTCAATGCCGGGCTCGTACACGGGCTCCTCGATAGATTAGAAACCCTCTAGATGGTCACGGTGTCTGAACGGGAAGAGTCCTTTTTGGTAGTCCACTTAGTTATTGTCTATAAGCTTACGGTGACAGTGTCACGGCATAGGGGGAAAAACGCTCGGTATCGATCGGGGCGCGGGAAGGGGGAGGAGACGCGAGCCCTTTTGAGTCCAGTGGCGCGACGGTTGGCCGCCGATGATGGAATCCTGAGAGATGCTGTTTCCTTTTGGGATCGTGCCACAGCTCCCTTGGGGGAATATATTACATTGGCGGGGTGAGCCAGTCAACTGATGCTTTTTTTTTTTTTTTTTTGGTGGCGAGCAGCACAGAACCCAGGCAACACATGTGACTCTTGTGTTGGTTGAGGGTGGGAGTGGCAAGGGAGATGCGCATTCCAGAACGGAGCTGGGGGAATAGTATCATTACTTCTTGCGCAGTGGGCATGCCTCGTTTCCCATACACACACGCACTTGCATTCTTCTTTTCCGTCTTTGTCGTCAACATTTCCTCTCTGAATATGGGACCGGGGCTGGCCGGTTTAGAGAGACGTCCCGCGCGAGGTCGTTGGATTGCATGCTCCCATTGGCGGCAGCGCCAAGGATGCGGGGGAGGAATGGGCAATCTGGGCCAGTGATCCCGTGTGTGGGTTTAGCCATTGGGAGTTGGAGGCTCTAGAAGCTGACGGGAAGAACTGGGGGGTCTCGGGGCGTGGATGTGGTGGGAAGTCTTGCTTCAGCGATGGTTAGCGTTGTCTCCCCAGCACTTTACTTCCAGGCTTTCTTGTATATCCTGCCCACGGCGCCTGGGGCCGCGTGTTCGAGACAAGAGAGCGTGACAGCCCCCGCGAGGGTATTTGCTAGCATTGCCCATGTTCAGGTTGATGCTGATAGTACCACGATCTGGCGAAGGATGGTCACGAACGGTTATAGACATTGAACACGTGAGGTGTCGAGCCACAGGTAAGACATTGTCCGCTTGAGGGAAGACCGGAATGAGCGGCTACAACGACGGCGAGGAGTTGATTATCGGGCTATGGGAGGATTTGGAGAAGCGTGACGCGCAATTGGCGGGGAGGGTTCAGTTCAGGACGAGGGCCGTGCTGCTGGAGAGGACGCCGTTAAGATCCAAAGCCGTGTCTTGGGGTCTTGGCGCTGATGTTGGTGTCGGACCTGCTTCAAGCAGTAGTCACCTCGTGTCGCCGTAACTTGGGCAACGCAATCAACCAAGACCTTCATCGGAGCCTGTGCGGCCCGCAATTGCTCGTGCATTCATCCCGTGCGATAGAAACGCCATGCGCGCGGTCTTGGCTCCATGCCAGAAGAGCAAGAATCGGTCCAAGGACGCCGTCGGTCCTGGAGGAGAGAACGAGAGAGTTTCGGCGGTTGGGCGAAACCCCTTGCATGCCGGATGTTTCTACCCCGCAAAAGCATACCGCTGCAATTGTGAAGAAAGCACTGAAGCAGGGCATATCTTGGGATGGCGCCCGACTCAAGTCCTAGTGTAGCTTACCTAGTTTGGCCTCCAATAGTTTACTGCCGCCACCCCCGTTCACACCCACAGCTCCAGCGCCGGTCGATGATGGTGGCGCGCTGTATGACGCAGGGCTGGGGTAAAGGCCGGCGAATCAACAGACGACGATAAGGAAGTGTCCCAGACATTCATCAGCATGAGGGTGTGTGGGATGGCGTCGTTAGATTCTGGGAGGGTTGGTGCATTGATGATGACTCTTGCTATTTTGTGAGTCCACGCACACACGCGTGTAGGAGGCTGCCTGCACCGGCCTCCGAACGACCTGCCGAGGGTTTATTGACGTGCCATGCAGAGAATAAGTGGCATGCCTGGCCGCCGGATCTCTGCTTAAAGCGGGCGGCCAGAACTGATTCGATTGTCGCATTCAGGCATCGATGACTGATGCGGAAGGCCCAATCGGTGGTTGGATGTTTGCGGTCTCGATAGGGACGGGTAAGTGATGGGCAAAACTAAGATGGCGGGCCAAGGCGAGTGAGACACCGGCCAACGAGACAGCCCTGAAGATCATTTCCCATGTCCAACATGGCTAGAGAAGTCTATTGAAAAGGAGACATGGTGACACGACAAGGAAGCTGATGGGTAATTAGCAGAAGAAGAAAGTTGTGCAAGGAAGGTGCAAAGAAGAAAAGAAAAGAAGAGAGAGAGAGAGAGAAAGAGAGAGAGAGAGAGAGAGAGAGGGAGAAAGAGAGAGGGAGAGAGAGAGGAAGAAGCAACTGCCCTGCTAAGGTTCTTGGATCGAGGGATCGGATCAGACCCAATGCCGCCCGCATATCCAAAGATTTACATCGTGGCTGCAAGAGATTGGATGACTTGGGTCTCGATACAGGCGAATGGCCAAGAAGGAGTCGAAGCATGTCGCGTAGCAAATGAATGGCACGATATTTGACCAGAGATGGATTTTTATTGACCGATGGGCAGTTCGTTTCACAGGCTTCTCTGTACAAGGTCTTAGATCTCATGTGCTGCGTAAGAGAAAGTTGTTATGAATGCTGAAAGCGGGAGAGGTACCGAGGCGATGGACGAAATCCGGTCGAACACGGTGCGTTGTATCCCGTACTAGTTTTCTCGAAGACTATCTTCGCGGAACGTTGAAGTCCTATTGGACCGAGCAAGCAAGCGAGCTAAACGGGGGCAAATACAGTTTGGCGAGCAATGGTGGCCAAGAGATGAGATAGGGCGGAGGGCAAGACATGAGACTGGAGCCAGGACCAGCTCCGTTGGAGACGTATGAGGAGGGTACCCTCCGTTAGCCTATCTGTCTCGTCGATGAAAGCGAATGGCATAGGTAGGCCGGCAGGGGGAAACGGCGACAGTCGGGAACTTCTGCAGGGTGGTGGAGGTGGACGGGCATACAGCAGCAGCACAGCACAACTGGCTTGTCTGGGGTCGGAGGAGGCCGATAGAAGCTGTTGCGGAGTATTGCAGGAGACTGCTCGGCCAAGCATATGTACGTACCTGTATATTCGAGTTGGTGAATTCAAGGGCACGACGGATCAGACATGCCGTCGTGGCTGGACGGAAGTCCAGACCAGGCACCAGGCCAGCAGCCATCTGGTGACAGGGCGGATCTTCACCTCGCACCGTCAGTATCTGGCCGGAGTTAAGGGCCGAGAACGGGACGAGGCAGAGGCCAGCGACAAGCATCCAGTAGTGCTGAGCACGTCCTCCCTCCCATGAATCGTCGACTCGGGGCCACGGTTAGTAGCAAGCAAGCAGCCTGCCGCTGGGTCCGGGGCAGGTTGTCACACTCGAGGGAGGTCGACCAGGCTCGTATACATGGATACAATAGGAGAGTGACGGAGCCATTCGGGGAGAAATGCAACTGGGTCTGTCGGTGGCCGGAATAGAATGGAAAGGGAGGGATCGCTCGCTGGTGTCTGATAGCGGTCACAGGTGGTGACAGTGCCAGCGACGTTTGTTTGTGCGGGTGTCAATCAGGAAGTTGTATTACGCATAAGAAGGGAGGGGCGCATAAAATGGCACATGCAGTTTGTGCACGTGCATAACCGGGCAGGACCTTCCCCAGAGAGAGAGAGAAGACATGCTGCCAGACTTGGAATGGGGCATTGGGACATAAGCGGGACTAAGGAGCTTTCAGCTTTAGCGTCACCAGGTCTGGTCGGCTTACATAAAGGTGGGCCTGCTCTTGCTCTTCACTTGATTTATCTCAAAAGCAGTTCCCCCCCGAGGTTCTCATTGGCTGCAGATGATGGGCCGAATGCACTCGCTGCTCTGGCGGCCATGGCCTGCGGAGGGCCTTGACCGGGTCAGCCGGGCACGAACACGGTGTGTCCTTGCTGAGAGCCTTGGACTTGTGTTGGGCCCCGTTCCAAATGCCCACTATTATGACGGGCTCTGGCAAAGCCGAAGGGACCACTCGAGTGTGATGGGCAGATCAGCATGACACTGTCATTGTCGGGCTGCTTCTCTGTCAAGATTTGAGAAAGGCAAGGCTCTGTAGTTGTAACACGGCCAAAAAGCCGAATAATGAATGCCCCCAAACCCTGGAACAAGTTTATGTCAATCCTCGTACCCAACGCACTGCCCCAGTTCATGGCGCACGTAGCGACAATATTTCCAGCAGAGCAGGGGGGGGAGCAGTCGAGGGCGTGACTTGGAAACGGGACCGCGGGACGGACTCACACTGAGAGAGAGATAATGAGAGGTGACAGATTGTAAGAGGTCAGACCGAGCCAAGAGACAGAGAGGGAGAGAGAGAGTGTGTGTGACTGACTGACCCCCGTGGACTCCATTACCCCGTGTTGGCGACCCCCAAATTCAATGTCACCCCAAACTCTAAGCCCA